AATTAATAAAAAAAATACATGAGTATTGAGTTTTTGTATAGCTAAAATAATTAGTACTGATTATAAAATAAACAATAAATAATAATGTATTGTACAATATAATTAGTGTGTGAGCAATAATAAGAGATCATATACTCAAATTGGTTAAAGTTTTATTAAAGTTGTATTAAACGTTTAATTATCAAATAAAAATTAAAACAATACAATATGTAACTATATATATACATATATATAAATATATTTATATATATAATATATATATATATATATATATATATATATATATATATATATATATATATATATATATATAAATATATATATATATATATATATATATACATACATACATACATACATACATACATACATACATACATACATACATATATATATATATATATATATATATATATATATATATATATAAGGGATGTAACAACATTGTAAATACCGTCATACCGTAATAGTAATTTTTTTCAATATTACCGTAGGCGCATGACTCAATAAAACTATATTTCTGAGAAAAGTTTGCTTAGGTGAATGAAGTGAACGGGAGGTAGCGGGAACTACAATTCCCATCAGCCTAGGCGTGGCCATCATCCTTTGCGGTCTGTTGTCACCACAGATCCAGTAATGCGGAAATGGAGTGTGCTGCTAGTAGCGGGGAACAAAAGGAGCTGGAAATGATCGAACCTAAAGCGGGTTTTAAATCGGATGTGTGGAAGCATTTCGGTTTCTTTCTAAAAAGATATGAAAAAGGGGAAAAGGTGACAGACAAAGAAAAAAACAGTATGCAGGCACTGCCAGACTGTGGTGAAATATAAGTCGGGGAATACGACTAAAAACAGTCATGGAGACTGCAGAACACAACACACTTGTTAGATTGATGCAGACATTGACTTGTACCGCCAAGAGACCTCTATCTCAATCATGGCTTGTCCTCTAAAGTGGGGGAAAGACAATGCACAGCGTTACCCACTGCTGTCAACCTTGGCTAAATCTTATCTTTCTGTCCCAGAAACCTCAGTCCCAAATGAGAGGGTTTTTTATTTCTGTTGCAGGGGACATGCCCAGAGATCCCAGCTTTTACCAGATTATAGTTATATGATCATTTTCCTTAAAAAAAAAAACATCTCTATCTAATGAGTGAGTGATTAAATGTTGAATGTGAGTTTTCAACAATACTAAATTAAAACTTTATTTTTTTAATATGGTTTAATAGTTTTTTGTTATTAAAATTGAAAAATTGAAGTTCCTGTTTCGAAACTTACAGACAGATGGCTAATTTGTATGTAATTAATATGTTCAGTGCTAAGGTAAATAAACACTTTTGGCACTTTTTTCGAGTCTTATCAATAGTTTTGTTTATCTGTATATTTATCTATATATATATATATATATATATATATATATATATATATATATATTAGGGCTGTCAAATGATTTAAAAAATTAACGTAATTAATCACACTTTTTGAAATTAATCATGATTAGTCACGAAACACCTTATTACAGAAAAAAACACAGAATTTTGAATTTCAAAACAAAATGTGTAAAAAAAAAATGTAAAAAAACATACCAAAATAAAATAGTAAAGGCTGCTTTCTTTAAATTAGCTTTTTAATCTCTGTTTATATCTTTAATTCACTCATATCTATGTTCAGAAGATTTTAACATGGGAAATTGTTTCTTCATATTTAGCCTGATTACAAATAACATTTCATTCTAATGATTAAAACGAAAATAGGGGCAGAGCAGTGGCGCAGTGAGTAGTGTTGTTGCCTTACAGTGAGTAGGTCGCTGTTACGAGTTTTGGCTGGGCCAGTTGGCATTTCTGTGTGGAGTTTGCATATTCTCCCCGTGTTAGCGTGGGTTTCCTCCGGGTGCCCCACAAGTTTAAAGACATGCACTATAGGTGAAATGGGTAAGCTAAATTGTCTGTAGTGTATGTGTGTGAATGAAAGTGTATGGACGTTTCAAAGTACTGGGTTGCGGCTGGAAGGGGTTCCCCTGAGTAAAACAGATGCTGGATAAGTTCTGCTGTGGTGACCCCTAAATAATAAAGGGGACTCGTCTAAAAAGAAAATGAATGAATATATAAAGATCCCAAAGTATTAGAGAAAGTAGAATAAGAAATCAATGTTCATAATACAATAATTATTTTACAAGCACAAAATAATCAGAGACAAAAACAGGTGTGGTTGTCAATGTGTTGCTATGCAGTTGCAGAAGTGAGTTTCTGATTGGTCTGCTAGGATCATCCCATCTATACATTGATCATGTATAATCACCATGCGCTGATGCTCAGTGATTAGCGGCACAGCTAAATTGATAGCTGTTTGTTCAAATAATAAACCCAACAAACCATATAAAGTCAATCACCCCTAAAGCACACTTAACAGCCTATTAAACAACAGCAAGCTCATTCAGAGGCAAGTTATTTAGAAAACACACTGCAATGTAAAACTAGAGGAAGAGAAGGATATTTAAAGAGGTGTGAAGCACCGGCTTACACACTGTGAACTCGGCTTTACTACAGTAAATCTTCAGACACACATACTGTTTAAACACTCGCAGGTAAACTTACAGTCTTGAGATGAGCGATGCTTGAAGGTGAAACGCAGGTGACTCCTGTTTACATCTTCAATCGGGATCGCAACCTGCAGGAGAAAACAACACCTGTCAATGTGGAGATTATGGACTTTTGTGCTTTCCATAGAGTTTATTCATGTCTAATGTAAAGAACACAATCCACAATGCAGCTTTAAGCATTTCTTTTGGCGCACTTAATGTATCAATTAAATATATTAGGAATTAAATCTATTTAAGTTAAATAAAACAATAAATGTAAAATAAATAAAGCTTAGATAAATAAACAAATGCAACCACATACAAATTTTGGCAAAAACAAAAAGCTAAACAAAAACCAAAAAACAACAAAACAAACAGCAACAAAAAAACAACAAGAAAAAGACAAGAAAAAACAACAACACAATTAGCAACAAAACACGACAAAACAAAAAACTAAAACAAAAAACAAAAACAAACAACAACAAACAAAACAAAAAGAATACAAATTAAGCAGAAACAAAAAACGACAAAATGACAAGAATAAAACAAAACAAGCAACAATAACATAACAATAAAACAAAACGAAAAGCAACACAACAAATGACAACTAAAAGAAACAAAATACAACAAAATCCCCAAAATGACAAAACAAACAGAAACAAAAGACAAATACAAAACAAAAATGAGAAAAAAAGCAGAAACACAAATAAGAAAAAACACAAAACAGGGACAAAACAAACAAAAAATATACAAAATAAAAGAACAACACAAAACATAACTGACAAAAAAGAAACAAAAAAACGACACAATAAAAAAACTCAAAACACAATAAACAAAACACAACGAAACACGCAAAAACGAAAAAAACAGAACAAAAAAAGACAAAATAGCATGAAAAAACACAAAACAAATACAAAACAGGGACAAAACAAACAAAAAATATACAACTTAAAACACTTGCAAAACAAAGAATTGCCAAAAAAGAAACAAAAAAACGACACGATAAAAACAACAACAAAACACAATAAACAAAACACAACAAAACAAGCAACGAAACACAATAAACAATAAAACAAGAGCAAAAATTACTAAATAGAACAAAAAAAAGACAAGAAAAAGACGACACAATTAACAACAAAACAAAATAAACAAAATTAACAATAAAACGAAACAACAAAACAAAAATGACACACAAAAACAAAAAAGCTATTTTAATGGCTGTTTTCTGTATTTGCATCTTTATTCATATCTGAGGAGGAATTGAAAAAAAGAGACTTGTTCCAACAAAGTTTGCTTGATTTTACATAACATTTGCATAAAATAAAATAAAATTAAAATTAAACAAAAATAAATTTAATTAAAAAATAAAATAAATTTTAAAAATTTATATAAAATAAAAAATTAAATAAAACATTGACTCTTGAAGATATATTCTGACATTTAGGCAAGTCAAATTAGATCCTCTTATTGAACAGCAGATTGGAGAATATAAGATGACTTTTACCTTGATGGTTTCATACCAGCGCGGCTGTTTGACCTGATAATAAATGACAGATTTGTACTCCAGAATGCCTTCATCTCCAGCACCTGGGAAGATCACGCTCTACAACAAAAGAACAGAAATAAAACAGTAATTATTACAAATAATTATTGCTTTGTCACAGCACATTCACACTGACCAGCAAAAACACATCAGCCATGGCAGAATTATTAAATGCGACTCCCTGCCAAAGTTTATCGAGATGAGAAGTGGCAGACATGAAATATTAAAAACTCCATTCAACCTGCTGGAAATCATAAGGAGTCCAGATGCTGTGAGGAGCATTCACATAACAGCATGCTTTATTTCATTTTCCTATTTCTGAGCATTTTACACAGAGAAGGGGATGAGCTTTCAATATACATCTATAGAGACACAGAGTCAGCCTGTCAAAGTCTGAACACACACACAAACAATTACTGTTTTAGCAGTAATAAGAGACCATATACTGAGCCTGACGAGAGTTTTATTAAACATTTAATTATTAAATAAACATTTTAACTAAAATATACAACTTAATTTAAATATATTAGGAAATTAAAAATCCTAATATTAAATCTAATTAAATGAAATGATACAATTAAATGTAAAATAAATGTAAAATTAAAATAAATAAATCACACTAAAATAACAAATAAAATAAATGGAAACTAAAATATATATTTAAAAATTTAAATAAAATGTTAAAAAAACATTAAATTGAATAAATTTAATAAATGACAAAAATGAAAATCAATTAAAAGAAATAATAAATTATTAAAATAAAATTGAAATAAAATATTACTTAAAAAGTTAAACATGAAAATAATAGTATTTGACACTTAACAATATTGGCCACACACACACACACACACACAGTATAACTGTATGAGCAATAATAAGAGACCGCATACTGAGACTGGCAAAAGTTGAACAAGAGTTTTACTAAACATTTAATTATTAAAAAATATTTAAACTAAAATATATAACTTAATTTATCAAATATGTATATAAATACCTTTTTTTTTTAACCCACCTTTGGATTTCGTTTTCTTTTTAAAATATTTACCAAATGATGTTTAACATAAGAAAATTTTCACAGTATGTCTGATAATATTTTTCTTCTGGAGAAAGTCTTATTTGTTTTATTTCCGCTAGAATAAAAGCAGTTTTTAATTTCTTAAACTCCATTTTAAGGTCCATATTATTAGCCCCTTTAAGCTATTTTTTTTTTCGATAGTCTACAGAAAAATAAACACCATTATACAATAGCCTAATTACCCTAACCTGCCTAGTTAACCTAATTAACTCGGTTAAGCCTTTAAATGTCACTTTAAGCTGTATAGAAGTGTCTTGTAAAATACCCAGTAAAATACTATTTACTGTCATCATAGCGAAGATAAAATAAATCAGTTTTTAGAAATGAGTTATTAAAACTATTATGTTTAGAAATCTTTTGGAAAAAAATTTGCTCTCCATTAAATAGAAATTGTGGGAAAAAAATAAACGGGGCAAATAATTCTGACTTCAACTATGAGTGAGTGAGTGAGTGAGTGAGTGAGTGAGTGAGATAGATGGATAGATGGATGGATGGATGGATGGATGGATGGATGGATGGATGGATGGATGGATGGATAGATGGATAGATGGATAGATGGATAGATGGATAGATGGATAGATGGATAGATGGATAGATGGATAGATAGATAGATAGATAGATAGATAGATAGATAGATAGATAGATAGATAGATAGATAAATAGATAGATAGATAGATAGATAATTAAATTAAATCTAAATGCCAATGTATTAAATGCCAATTCTATTAACATTAATTAAAAAGACAAATAAATTAAAATCTAAAATAAATTAAAATAAGAAAATTGACAATAGTAATTATGTAAACTAAAATAAGTGTATTGTTTATTAAAAAAGTAAACATGAAAATAATATTATTTGCCACTGAACAATAAAAAAATTGCTTTCAAACCATCAAAACACAGACTCGATGAACAATTCATAGAATATGCTGAAGTTAAGAGTTGACAACTATGAGCAACAGGAGACTGGTTGCATAGACTAAACTACTGACTGAAACTCTATGATGAAACACTTTAAGAACAAACAAAAAAACCAAACAGTAAATTACCTCAAGTTTCTTGCCATCTTCGTCGTGTACAGACATGGTGACCTCCACGTTCTTGGGTGTCGTTTTACTGCCTTTGTCAAAATCCCCCTGAACCAGCGTCACATAGATGTCATTACGAACATCACCTGCAAACACACAACACACACACACACACAAACATACAAACTAAAACAGTCGCTCATTAAAGGGTCACGAAACACCAAAACACATTTTTTGAGCTGTTGACAGTCGTATATGTGTCCCACACTGCTAAAAACACTATTAGGACACCTATATTTCACTAAAAAGTGTAAATTGGTTGTTTTTGCGTTATTTCAAGCAAATTCGTACTTCCTGTTTGAAACAAATTTTTGAAGCTGCGTCACGGCCATGAGATAATAGCGTTGTATTCCAGCGTGCAGACTGGATATCTGTGCCAGAGTGAGTCTTATTACGTCTTACAGTGTGCTGCTTTAATGCATAAGTAAGGCGTGGTTCAAACCAATCAGCGCGCTCTATTGTGCAACTTCATTAATATTCATTACTGTCACAGTGTTTAGACGACAGAGACGCCACGTTGTGTTGGCAAAACAAGCGTGAAGTGTTGCTTTTATAGTTTGCTGCAGTGAAGTTTTGTTTTCATTTTCTCTCTGTGAGAGCGCAGCTGTGGTCACGTGTGGATTAACAGTGCACGCGACGCTCGACAACAATAACTTACGTGTCTAAGGACGACTATTGTTTACCTGAGAGCTGTTCTCATCTGCAAACGCTGAGATCCGGATTCGCTTGTAGTCTCCTCTTAATAAAGACGCGGCTCTAGTTGCTGGTGATTGTCCTGTCTCTACAGATTTGGTGAGCGACCAGTGCTCTTTGTTTATTCAGTTCGTATTTTATTCGTATCAAACAAACTATTGCACCGATTGTAAACAAGTTAGCACTACAACCAAACTATAACCTCGTGTAGGATTTTGTGACCGGAATAACACACGCAGCTCTCTGACGCTACCTGCCGAGTGCATCTAAGTTTCCGGGAAATGCTGAGGTTTTTTTTTCTCTCATTCGCCATGCGGTATCAAACATTGCATGAAAAATACACGCTTAGAGCAGCTCCTCGAATAAAATATCTTGTTTGTCGCAAGAGACATGAATGAATTCCCTGAATGAAAGAGCCAAACTGCAGTTAAAGTCCACCAATTAATAATTTGGCAAATAATTCGACTACAGATGTACATGTAAACACTGTCACTTTGTCCGCTGTGGTTGTGTGTTTTGACTCTGAAATTCAGCGCGCCCAAATAGACACTCCCACACCAAGCCTCTTTTCTTCCTCCGACACCTCCCCCCTAAACAGAGCTGGACACGCCCACTTTTCTGACTTTTTCCAAAGTAGAGGTGTGAAAACACCCTGCTGAAACGAGGGGGTTTCATGGCCCTTTAAGTCAGTGTGTTCAATCTACAGTGAGAAAATGAGCAGATCTTGATTTGTGTGTGAACTATCCCTTTATCAGTTCCCATTATAAAGGCTGATTAATACTTCTGTGTCCAATAATTGCCGTGACCCAGGCGTGTAGTGGTGCATTTATATCTCTGCGTGGTGTTTGTGCTGCTCTGCAATAACACTTCTGAATCGCTAGCTGGCAGTAGGTTATGTTCCTCTGTGTCGAGTTTCTAGTTTTGCTTCTTCTGAATGCTACAAGTAGCTCAAACTTACTCATTCAGAGGTGGGAACCGGCAGACGGGCAACAACTTGAATCATAAGGTAAACACAAGACAATAGTTTTCATCTGGAGCTCCTTCACGGAACTCCTGGCTTGTAAAGACTTGGGCTCTCAGCCCCTCCCACACTCATCACAGCTACTAAGCCGACCAATCACAGAGCTACATGTCATGATGATGTTTAATTACATTTTTTGAGAGGTTTACATCAGCGTCGGCATCAGCCACAAGACTGCGTGAAAGCAGTACCAGACCATAGGTGTCTGCTTGATGCAGAAGTATAAATCAACCTTTCCTGATGCATTGTTTGTGTGAACGCTGAACGAATGTAACTCAGAAATATTTCCATAATGTGATTGAATATGCTCCCGGAAACGTCTGCTGATGGTGGATACCTGGCATGATGATTTCCGGGAAGCCCATTTTGCGAGCGACTGCAGTGGATCGATCCACCAGATGAGGAAAATCCTTGCGGATCTGATGAATGTCACCTGGAAGAAGCTTCAGCGTGACCCACAAACCTGAGGATGGAGAATAAACGGACAGAGGGAGGAATAAAACACACACGCAAACACAGCTACTTTGCAAACACCTACACATGCGCACAAACAGACAAACACAATGCAAACACACACGCAAACACAGTGGATGACTAAGGAAATGTCATTGTTAGGGGTGTCAAAATTAATTGTTTCTTCTGGTGCACCGCGATGCAGACGCGGACAATTCGGTATCGGTTCAGTAATAATCATAACCGGTTATTATGAACTGACGTCATTTATCTCCTATGCTCTCTGTCGCGAGGGAGGTGAGTGCGAGTATTTACAACACTCAGGCAACTCAAGGCCGGCCCGTGGCATAGGCACCATAGGCTAATGCTAAGGGCGCTGTATATCCAGGGGGGCAACAGAAATGAGCGCGGTTCAGTTGGTTTTGTTTTCGATTTTCCTGACACACATTCAGTTATAGACGGCAATAACTCAAAAACCTTTTACCCTAAAAAGATCTAAAGTGTGTTTCCTACAAAAAGACAAAGCTGGTTATGTTTCACAGCTGTCTTTCTTTTTTTTTTTTTTTTCGCTCGACATTACGAGCACTGCTCCGTTTAAGCCCTCCCAATATGTGTTCAGCCGGGAGAGCTCGCTCTGAGAGGAGCTCTCAGTAAGGGACCGTCGGAAAAGTGCTGTTTTTTTTTTTTTTCATTTTTCTGCTCCGCTCAGCGCAAGCTCTCCCTGTTGCGAGGGCTTAAGTGTGTGTGTGAGTGTGTGTGTGTTTGGTGCTATCTATGTTTGTGTATGTGTTTGAATGAGAGACAGTGTGGTGCTGTGTGTCTGTGTGTTTATACAGACAGCATGTTATAGCCTCCCCCTTAAAATATAGCACTGTATATAAAAAGCATCGTCAATGCACCGTGATGCACCGAGATATCGTATTGAACCGAATCGAAGGCATGATAATCATAACCGAACCGTGAGACCAGTATAGGTTCACACCTCGTCATTGGCTATGTTTCCATCCACCTACTCTTATGTGCATTTTGGATATGCGCAGTAGGACTTTCTCTAGAGGAAAGAAATATTAGAGGAAATACTGTGAAGAATTCTTCTGGATAATTTGGGAAATATTTGAAAAGGAAAGAAAATTCACAGGAGGGCTGATAATATAGACTTCGACTGTATATTATTGGTTGAATAAACCTGACGATCCTCCAGTGATTGTGCTGGGTAACGCTGTGCTGTGTAGGATGTAGGTCTGTGGGTTTGTGAGAGTCTCTTGGCAGGAGCTCAGTTTGATGTTTTCTAGGTCTCGCTCTCCAGCTTTCTGTATTTTTAACTCCATCAACTTTAACTAGGCTACAAAATTAATCTGCAGCTCAATAACAGCAGACATGCAACCATCTCAGCTGAAAGTTGGCTGTATGAGATGCGTTTTATTATTTCTAAAAGGTTGTCTGTTCGACGCAGCAGTGGCGCAGGAGGTACCGTTGTCGCCCTACAGCAAGAAGGTCGCTGGTTCGAGCTTCGGCTGGGTCAGTTGGCATGTCTGTGTGGAGTTTGCACGTTCTCCTTGCGTTTGCGTGGGTTTCCTTCGGGTGCTCCGGTTACCCCCACAGTCCAAAGACATGCGGTACAGGTGAATTGGGTAGGCTAAATTGTCCGTAGTGTATAATTTTGAATGAGTGTGTGGATGTTTTCCAGAGATGGGTTGCGGCTGGAAGGGCATCCGCTGCGTAAAAACCTGCTGGCTAACTTGGCGGTCACGGTGGCTCAGTGGTTAGCACTGTCACCTTACACCAAAAAGATCACTGGTTCGAGCCCCGACTGGGCCAGTTGGCGTTTCAGTGTGGAGTTTGCATGTTCTCTGTGTTCTCGTGGGTTTCCCCGGGTGCTCTGGTTTCCCTCACAGTCCAAAGACTTACACTAGGTGAATTGAATAAACTAAACTGGCCGTATTGTATGAGTGTGAATGAGAGTGTATGGGTCCCAGTAGTGGGTTGTGGCTGGAAGGGCATCCGCTGTGTAAAACATATGCTGGATAAGTTGGCGGTTCATTCCGGTGTGGCGACCCCTGATAAATAAAGGGACTAAGCTGAAGGAAAATGAATGAATGAATGAATAAAGTGGAAAGAGTGGAGAGCATGAGACTGATTCCAGTGACGCTCCAGGGACAGACGGGTCTTCGATGAAGCCAGCTACCAGCCTTCGCCGCTGAGACTGCAGCTCTGCACAAGACGTTCGGTCAGCGGAGAAATTAAAATGGTTTCTCTTAAAGTTTTTTTTCCCTCTCCGCTGTCGCCTCTAGCTCGCATGGTTTGAGATCGGTAAACCACACTGAACTGAGCTAAACTGAACTGAACTTAAACACTAAAGAAACTGAACTCCACTGTTCCATTTTACTATGATCTTTTATGCGAAGCTGCTGTGACACAATCTACTTTGTAAAAGTGCTATACAAATAAAGCTGAATTAAATTGAATTGAATAAATGTTCTGTATTCTGTAAATATATGTTCTATAAATAAATACATTTTTATATATTTATAAATAGTATTTTTTTTATGCATTACATTTTATTTGACAAATTGTCACCTTGGAATTATAAGGTTCTCACTGCGTTCTGAATGATTTTGAGATATTGAGCTTCAAAGTTTTTGCATTCCATATAGATAACGGTATGTGTGCAACATTTGTTTATTTAAATAAAAAGTCTTAAAATGTAAACAACTTATTAAAAAAAATATCCCATTATGTAAATAATGTCATTTAAGAAGAATATATTGAAAACTCCATTTTGGCAAAAACGTCAGATAGAAGCTTGTAATTCTAAGTTGACAAAATCACATTTTAGTAATCAAAGTATGCCTAATTAATTGAAATAGTTTAACTTAATCGATTTATTTGAAGATGATTAAAAAAGTTTATTCTTAAGGCCTCATGAAATGAGTTTGCTTTGTTCCAAAACTCTTCATTGATTTTCCCTAGTCTATTTATTTTTGAAAATGTTTTTCTATAACTACATTTTCATTTCAATGTCTCTGTATTAAAATGAACATAGCTTGTTTATTTATTAAAATCTTTTCAGTTTATCATCAAAACTGCAAACCAACTGTTGAGATAGCATAGTTATATAATGAATTAATCAAATGAAATCCACTTGAGGACACCAGATATATATTTACATTTCTTATATTTAATTTATTTATTGTTTATTATTATTATGCATGTACACTACCTGACAAAAGTCTTGTCGCCTATCTTAGTTTTAGGAGTAACAAATAATAACTTGACTTCTAGTTGATCATTTGGTATTAGAAATGGCTTATATGAAAGGTAAATGCCTCTAGATTATTATTAATATTTGACCAAAATAAAACATGATCATCTCTTGATTTGTAATGATTTCATTAGGACAGTAAGGTCCGACTTTGCTAAGACAAAAGTCTTGTCATTAACAGAAATAAAGTCCAGTATAGAATATAAAGTCCTGCTGCAGTGGAAACAGAATGAATATTGTGTCTGACTCCATCATGAGCTTGGAGGACTGCATCCACACATCTCCGCACTGACTCAGATCACTTATCAATAAAGTCATCTGGAATGGCAAAGAAAGCGTTCCTGCAGGACTCCCAGAGTTCATCAAGACTCTTTGGATTCATCTTCAATGCCTCCTCCATCTTACCCCAGACATGCTCAATAATGTTCATGTCTTGTGACCGGGCTGGCCAATCCTGGAGCAGCTTAACCTTCTTTGCTTTCAGGAGCTTTGATGTGGAGGCTGAAGTATGAGAAGGAGCGCTATCCTGCTGGAGAATTGTCCCTCTCCTGTGGTTTGTAACGTAATGGGCAGCACAAATGTCTTGATCCCTCAGGTTGTTGATGTTGTCATACACTCTGCAGATCTCTCGCACACCCCAATACTGAATGTAACTCCAAACCGTGATGTTTCCTTCACCAAACTTGACTGATTTCTGTGAGAATCTTGGGTTCATGCGGGTTCCAGTAGGTCTTCTGCAGTATGTGTGATGATTGGGATGCAGTTCAACAGATGATTCTTCAGAAAAATCCCCCTTCTGCCCTTTTTCCAAATAATTAACAAGAAGTCAAGTTATTACTGGGATCAATGACAAGACTTTGTCAGGTAGTACATGTGTATTTTTTCAATTTATTATTTGTAAGCACCAGAGACAAATAACATCTCACCAAACAGTCCACGTTCATTTATCTATCCATCATTGGTATGCATGCATATATGTTTGTATGTATTTTATGTATTATTTGCAAACACCGGGCACCAATATCATCTGCTGCCCCCGGTGACCTTTACCTTGACCTTTGTGATTGACCTCTTTGGCAGCGATGACCTTGTTGATGACGCTCTGCAGGAAGTCGCTCTCTCCTGCCACCCTGGGTGAAAAACGGGAGATGTTCAGCTGCCTGTGGCGAATGGCATCATCCAACGCAAGCCTGGAGTTCAACACCAAACCAGCGGAGAAACACAGAAACACAGAAGAAGAAGAAGAGGAGGAGCCACAGATGACATGAGCAGAAAAAGAAGAAGAGGTGGATGAAGAAAGAGAAAGAGAGAGAGAGGAAACACCAAACAGTGATACAGATACCATGACGGGGACAAAAGCCATTTTGTTAGCACACAGTAATGCGGGATGGGTGACAGGAGAGACACAGAGAGATGCTGTCATTTCAGAGACCCTCCAGCACCCAAACACAGATCAACACTAAACACATTAACTCTGATGCACAAAGGATTACTACTAATCTTTGATGTGCATTATGTATTACATACAGAAAATGATTATTCAAAATATAGAAAGTAACCCTCAAATCATTTGTTTAAATATAATTGTATTTATTATGTATTTAGTGATATTTACAAGTATTTTAAAAATGCTGTTTAATTACATATTCTTTTCTGAATTAAACAGTATTTTTCAAAATATAGCAAATAATCCAACACTTTGCACTGAAACATTCTAATAATTCTAAAATATTCTAAAAAAAATACATTCTAAAAAAACAGAAACATTTAATTATTTATGTAGTGATATTTACAGGTATTAAAATTAATATTATGCAGTTTAATTACATTTAATTTGATTAATCTTTTAAAGTCAAAAAGATTAATTAAACAGTATTATTTAAAATATAGCAAGTAATCCTCAGATCCTTTGTATTTAAATACAACTCTAATAATTATGAATATATTAATATTTATTTATAAGTATTTATATTTATATATAAATATTTATAACTTATAATATTTATAAGTATTTTAAATATGCAGTTTAATTACATTTTTTCCTGAATTAAGATTTTTTAAAATATAGCAAAAAAAATAAAATAAAAAATCTAACAGTTTGCACTGAAAATTTCTAATAATTCTAAAATTATCTTCAAAAAAAATAATTCTAAAAAAACTAAAATATTGTATTATTTCTGTATGATATTTACAGGCATTCAAATATTATTATTATTATTATTATTATTATTATTATTATTATTATTATTATTATTATCTATATTGATATTATTATTAATATTATGCAGTTTAATTACATTTAATTTGATTAATCTTTTAAAGTCAAAAAGATCCATTAAACAGTATTATTCAAAATATAGCAAGTAATCCTCAAACTTTTTATATTTAAATACTATTCTACAAGTGACAAGTATTTTAATAATGCAGTTCAATTACTTTTTTTCCTGAATTAAAAAGTATTATTTAAAATATAGTAAATAATAACGCTTTGCAGTCTAATAATTCTAAAATATTCAAAAAAATCAATATTCTAATTATGTAGTGATGCTTACAAGTATTATTATTATTATTATTATTATTATTATTAATAATAATAATAATAATATGCTGTTTCATTACATTTAATTCAATTTAATATTATAAAAAAAATCAAGATTCATCAAACAGTATTTAAAATATAGCAAATAATTAAACACTTTACACTGAAATAAAATCTTCTAATAATTATGTAGTGACATTTATAATGTGTAGTGATATTTAGTACTATTAATAAAAAATGCTGTTTAATTACATTTAATCTTATTCATCGTTTTACAAAAAGATTAATTAAACAGTATTATTCCAAATATAGCAAGTAATCCTAAAATCCTTTACCTTTAAATACAACTCTAATAATTATGTAGTAAAAAATATATTTTGTGATATTTGTTAAGTATTAGTGATAAGTATTTTTTTTTTTAATCCGGAATTAAACTTATTCAAAATATAACAAATCAAACAAATATTCTAATAAGTCTAAAATATTCTAAAAATACATTCTAAAAACTTAAATATTCTAATATTTATGTAGTGATATTTACAAGTATTACAAATATTATGATTGTTAATATTATTATGCAGTTTAATAGCATTTAATTTAAAAGTCTTAAAAGTCAAAAAGATTCATTAAACAGTATTTTTCAAAATTTAGCAAATAATCAAACACTTTACACTGAAATGAAACATTTATAGATAAGTAGTGATATTTACTACTATTAAAAATGCTGTTTAATTGCATTTTATTATTAGTTACATTAATTACATTTATTTATTATACTTATAGGGTCAATTGCATTATTATTATTATTATTATTATTATTATTATCTTTAAAAATAATGATGCAATTTACTATGTATTTTATAAGAACTACATTATAATAAAATTCAATAAAATATAACAGAGAAATGTCTTATGAAATTATTATTTTATTATAATTACAAACCACTAAATAAATTACTTTCATTATTTTAGCATTATTAGTAGTAGTAATAGTATATTTATTATGTAAAACATGCATATATAAATAATTGATAGTGTTGTATAAACTTTTATTTTAAATAATAATGAAAAATGTTAATTAAAAATATTATTATTATTATTATTATTATGGTTAAAATTATTATTTAAAAATTTTACATTTCATGTATCTATTACAGTAAGAAAAGTAGTAAACAATAAAATGTAAAATTATCAAAACAATATTACATTGCTAATTTTAATAATAATCTTGATGAACAATAACCATTAATTTAACTGCAAATGTAGCTGCATATGTAGACGGAGGAAATGTTTGTTCATAAAGTTTTGAACAGAGCTTATCTGAAGTTTTAAACAAGTTGCCTCAAAGCAAAAACCACACTAAAGTGAAACCATGTGCCAGGATAAAACTGCTGAAGTGTGTGTGATGCGGCGGCGGAGCAGAGGAAAACTGAAGTGTCCAGTGTTTATTGAGTGACAGAATGAACAGTGAGTGACCGTGAGCTCCACTACAGTGTGTTTATAGAGCTGCATTTACACACCAAACAGCAGAAACCAAGTCAAAAAAACAACATGCATTAAATCTACATTCCCATAACAAAAAAAAAGAACAACTACACAAAGCTTTTTGTTCTTTACTTGTTTCTCTAATACATCTCAGAATGAATAGTGACTTCGCAAAGACAATGGCTGCGTTTGAAATAGCATATTCCATTATTTACTACATTTGAACACAGTACTACACGACCGTTAGAAAAGTAAGTTCTATAACATATGCATGCAAGTACTAGGAATGCAATTGGGACTACTTACTTTGCTCCTTCCTTCATTCTCTAATTACTTGCTTCCCTACCTCCCTACTTACTTTCCTACTTGCTTACCTAGCTACTTACCTCCAGACTTGCCTACCTACCAACCTATTTCCCTCCTTACTTACGTACTTGCATACTTCCCTACTTCCTTCCCTACCTATTTCCTTACTTACTTCCCTACCCATTTCCTTACTTCCCAACCTACTTTCCTACTCACTGCCTGACTTCCCTACTTCCTTACCTACTTACCTACCTACCTGCTTACCTCCCGACTTGCTTCCTTACCTACCTACTTGCTTACCTACTTACTTACCTCCAGACTTGCCTACCTACCTACCTACCTACCTATTTCCCTCCTTACGTACTTGTGTACTTACCTCCCTACTTCCTTCCCTACTTCCCTGCCTATTTCCTTACCTACTTCCCTACTCACTTCCCTACTCACCTCCTGACTTACTTCCTTACTTACCTACCTAACTACTTGCTTACCTCCCGACTTACTTGCCTACTTACCTATGTACCTTCTTTTCTTCCTTACTTACGCACTTGCATACTTGCCTCCCTACATCCCTACCCACTTCCCTACTCACCTCCATACTTCCCTAACACCTTCCTTCCTTACTTAAGCACAATACAAATTGTATTAAAAAAAAATCAGGAATAAAACAACATACAATTCATAAAACTTGAAACACACACAAAAAAGCAAGCTCAATGACCTAGCACAAGATTAGTTGTTTTGCTTGGTTCATGAATTCAGTCGCATGGCATCATGGAATAGTGTAGCATTTATCAGATGTGTACTTCAGAATCTCAACAAAAGTAGCAGGTCATCCGGGAACTGTTTTTACCAATACAATAAATTCGGATCTACTACACTGTATGGAAGGACACGATTTCAGACGCAGCCAATATGAACTACCAAACTGAAATTTGTAAGAATTAAAATTACTTAAAAAATAAATGGATAAATATAAATGAATAAAAGCAAACAGAAAGTGTCATTGTTGATGAGGATGCTGTGACGAAGTGATGACATCATCGAGAGTCATACTCACGGCTGGAAAGGAATGAAATGTTGTTTGTCCTCATCGTCCATCTTTCCTGTGATGATGTCTGTCACGTCCATTACTGCAGAGACGACAGAATAACAGCAGTTCAGTCTAGTGTTTTACATTAAACTCAATGTAGTAGATTGCTTAAAACATATGCATTTTACAGACTAATATTACAACTAATTTCACTAATACAGTGGTTCCTCGCTATAATGCAGTTCACCTTTCGTGTCCTTGCAGTTTCACAGATTTTTTTAGTGCAATTTGACATGCTTTTTGTTTTTTTGTATTTTTGTTTTCTACAGAGCATTGTGTTCTGCATCCTGATTGGCTGTAGACCATTGTCAATCAAAATCTTTGGTACAGTACGTCTTTGGTACAGTAAAGAACGTGCTTAGCTAGGTAAATTAACGTAAATCTTCGATCTCTAGCAGTGTGAGTTCCAATAACGATGCAAAAAGGGTTGTAACGTAAAAGGGATCACTCACCGAATGTGCCACGCAGAACCATGCATATTAAACTTGTAACCATAGGTTTATATCAGGGTACGCACACCGGCGACTCATGTCTGTGGTGACCAGCTATGACTTAGGACACTGGTCACATTTCTGCCGCGCCACAGAGCACCATTTAAATAATTTCATTTTAAATAACATGCGAATGTGCGCGTCTGGTGTGTTACTTCCAACTGTCATGTGCGTTGCGCATCCGGTGTGTGACCCCCTTAAGGATGAAGTCTGCTTTTATTGTGGATCAGTGACTGCAGGATGTCTGCACCTGACAACAGGTTTTGATCTTCATTCTATAAAACTGGACTTTTTTTTCTACGAAAGTTTAAACTTTGAGAGTGTTTAAAGGGCACCTATGGTGAAAAATCTACTTTTCAAGCTGTTTGGAAAGAAGTGTGTAAGTATAGTGCATAGACCTTTACTTCTTACCTACTTACTTCCCTACTTGCTTCCTTACTAACCTACTTGCCTACCTCCCTACTAGCTTACCTGCTTACCTCCTGACTTCCCTACTTAGTTCCTTACCTACTTCCCTACCTAACTACTTGCCTACCTACCTACATATTTCCCTCCTTCCTTACGTACTTGCCTACTTACCTCCCTACTTCACTACCTACTTTCCTACTCACCTCCTGACTTACTTCCCTACTACCTTACTTACCTAGCTACCTACTCGCTTACCTCCCGACTTAAGCCTGGTTTATACTTCTGCGTCAAGTGACCGGCGTACGCCACGGCACATGCAACGCGCGTGGCTGTGCATTTATCCTTTGTCTCTGTTGGTCTGCATTAACACTTCCGAAACGCTAGTTGGCAGTGAGGTGTAAATGTTTCTCTGTGTCGAGTTTCTTCGCTGCAATTTAGCTTTTCCTGAACACTTCCGGGATGTACAAGTGGCTCAAACTCGCTCATTTTGAGGCAGCAACCGGCGGACGTGCAGCAACTTTAACTATGAGGTAAACACAAAACAAAACTTTCCATCCGGAGCTCCTTCACGGGACTCCACACTTGTAAACAATTGCTACATTGGGTTCGCGCCATTCGCGCGGCTCTCGGTCCCGCCCCACACTCGTCATCACTACCAAGCCGACCAGTCACAGAGCTTGCGCTACGCGTTGTTGCAACGTGTAGTTTCATTTTTTGAGAGGTGCACGTCAGCGACGCCGACAGCCACGGCGAAGAACTATGCGTCAGCCGGTGTTTGACGCAGAAGTATAAATCAGCCTTTACTTGCTTCCTTACTTCCCTACCTACCTCCTTGCTTCCCTACTTACTTACCTCCAGACTTGCCTACCTACCTACCTACCTATTTCCCTCTTACTTCCAACTGTCATGTGCGCGGCGCATCCGGTGTGTGACCCCCTTAAGGATGAAGTCTGCTTTAGTTTTGTGGATCAGTGACTGCAGAATGTCTGCACCTGACAACAGGTTTTGATCTTCATTTTATAAAACTGGACTTTTTTTTCTACGAAAGTTTAAACTTCGAGAGTGTTTAAAGGGCACCTATGGTGAAAAATCTACTTTTCAAGCTGTTTGGACAGACATGCGTGTAAGTATAAGTGCATAGACCGTCATATTGGGGTGATATAAACATAAATTTTTTTCAATTTAACAACATAAAAACGGTGGACCAATCGGAGCGGTTTTTAGATCAACCGCAACTTGACATAGGAGTGCGGTCCCCCTCCCACCAATATTGATTGACAGGCGCATCACCATTTCCTCAGTTTGTTGTTTAACGTCCGCCATTTTTAGCGTGTGAGTCAAAGCGATGTCACTAAAGGAACACCCTTGCTCTATTTTTCGATGTAAGGCTGATTGGGCTCAACACAAGATCAACATTCACCACATGATCTATTTGCTCTAATCGTGATTGTTGTTAGTAACTTAGTTTGTTTGTGGATAGGTTTGTAAACGTGTACTTTTAATTGCGTCTACCTTAAAGTTCAGCCGTTTGTATTTCTCATGGTCATAGAAGCTCCCTGTGATCTTAACTAGGTGTAGCTGGAAAGCGCGAGCGTGCTGCCTCACGTGAGTGTCTCTCTATTGGAAATAAAACAGCGAACTTGCCAGCAGGTCGCACACCAGAAGCGCCGCTCGGCGACACGCAACGTGTTTCCATGTGAAGCAACACACCCTTAAAACAGCGAGCTGTGTACACGCCCCCAAAATAACACATTTGAACACATTATAATAAACACATCTGAACTGTGTGTTGGACTGAACCTAAACTGGCACACTCAAAAGAACCATAATATTAATATTAAATCATAAAAAAGGGGTAAACTATGTGCACTTTAAACAAGAGAGAATAGTGTGAAAATGTGAATGCCCGTCTGTAAAACTGTACAGCGTGTATTGAGGGGTTTTACAGCCTTAAAACATCTCAAATAATTGTAAAAAAAATAATAAAGTGGACTACTTCACGGATTTCATCTATTGCCGGCTTTTTTTAGAATGTAACTCTCAGGATAAAACAAGGACCACTGGATAACAATAACTTAGTTTGTAATTATAATAAATTTTCAATTTCATTTCATTGTTGGGTGCACATGCGTGCGTCTCTTAAATTATAACCGTTACATCAAAACTAACTAATCATCAACATTTCATCAATAGCAAGTCATATGGCCTGTTTCCACTAAAGGGTACGGTGTGATTTGGTTTGGTACCCTTATTTTCCTGCTAGGTACCCCTTGCAAAGGGTACCTAAAAGTGAACTGGACCTTCAGCAGCACATGTAACCTCTTGTTAGAGAGTAATTCCATCATTCTGAGTTCATAATAGTCCAAAAGGTGATGATAATAGTTAAACATAGACGTTTGTTCATGTTTTAGGTTGCAGAAGCGTCATTTGTTGCTGCTTTTTTTTTCCCGTCTTCTCCTTTGTTACTTCGTACTTCACTCTCGCGTTTGTCCTCTTCTGAAAGGATCAGATATCAGTGCGCTTCAATGATCACGCGCACGTTATTAATATGAACTCAAAAAAAATGTGTTAATTTAAATATAAACGCGCGGTGAGTTCTCTCGAGAACGTGAAACCGCTCTTAAACAACAACAGGACATGGCAGATTTTGTTCTTCTTAGCTTGGCACAGATCACTTCGGAAAAAAAAGTGATTGACAAGTGGTAATTTGTTTGTAGCTTTATTTATTTATTTATGGTTTGGTTATGGGTAAAGCAAAGACCATGATGGTCATGTAGTGAAAACGGTAGGCTACTATTAATTAATTAATTTGTTATGAATTAATTGATCTTTAACAACCACCCCCCGCCTACGACGATGATGGCATCGTCCATCGCAATGTTTCACATTAGACATCGTACGATGCCAAATTGGTCAACGTCGCCCAACCCTAGTAGAAGACTTTTGTTTTTTGCAAAGTGCTTCTCATATGATACGTGATCGAGCCTTAAAACGTATATCAAGTGTTTTACAATGCATAATATTTCTTAAATAACATTTTATTTTCCGTGTGATGCTTAATTGGTATAAATGTTGAACTAAATTTTATTTAAATGTATTTATTTATTTATTTTACTGCATTACAGCAAATATTTTGAGGTACATTTTTTAAAAAAGTAAATAAAATCTCAAATATACTTTATTTATCGACTTGCTCATTTACGCATGTATTTAATTAGTTAACACCTTATATTTAAGTGAGATTCGCTCCTTTACATATAAACAAACCCAAAGCAAAACATAGTGAAGCACAACAGAAACACATACATGGAAGTTGAACCCTGTGTTTCATAAAGTGAGCGCGGGCAAAACTTTCCAGATAAGCTGTCAAGCGGCCGCTATTACTGACCGAACACATAAACATCTCCTCTAAAGGGCCATTTGGCTTCAGTGGCCATGCTGAGATTGGGTTTACAGCAGGAAGCAGGAAACTGATGAGCCATAATGGAAGCATTGGCTTGTCTCTGAATGTGACACATTAAAGGTGACATTGCACATATATACAAGATCTGCCTCTATACCTGCATGACCCATATACTGACACACAGAGAGAGAGAGAGAGAGAGAGAGAGAGAGAGAGAGAGAGAGAGAGAGAGAGAGAGAGAGAGAGAGAGAGAGAGAGGGAGAGAGAGAGAGCGCAAGAGCATGAGAGAGGTTTTTCGACTTCAAAACCTGTTTGATGTTGAAACCAAAGGCTGTACGTCTCCTCTCATTCTCCTGTCTGGACTTATATATTTATTTATTTACAGAACAACAGATTTTCCCTTTTTTTCATGAGACCAACAGGGGGAAACATTTTGTGCACAATAACAGTCTAATGCCTTTTTGTGACTGATGTTTCATTGTGCAATATTTTGGGATGGGGGTTGACTGAGGAGAATGCTAATAGCTAATTTAATTGCAAAATAGTGCTTGCTAAGGAGTTCCTTGCGTATTTAGAGTGGTTAACCCTTACTAAGTGGTTGCCAGGACTTTGCTATTTGGTTGCTAAAGCATTGTAGAAGGAATAATGCTACTAGGTTTTTTACAGGGTCTTATTTGGCTGCTGAAGCATTGAGTGGTTGCCAGAATGTTGCTATTTGGTTGCTAAAGGAGTATGGGTGGATTAATGTTACCAGGTGGCTGCCAGGGCATTGCTTTTTGGTTTCTAACGCATAGTGGTTGGATTAATGTCACTAGGTAGTTGCCAAGGGCATTGCCATTTGATTGCTAAAGCATTTTGTGTGGATTAATGTTCCTAGGTGGTTGCCAGGCCATTGTTATTTGGTTGCTAAAACATTATAAGTGGTTGCAAGGGTGTTGCTTTTGGTTGCCAAAGCATTGTGGGTGTTGCCCTGGCAACCACCAGGTTGCCAGGGTTATTTGGTTGCTAAAGCATTGTAGGTGGATTATTGTTACTAGGTGATTGCCAGGCCAGTGTTAGGTCATTGTTATTTGGTTGCTAAAGCATTATGAGTGGTTGCAAGGGTGTTGTTATTTGGTTGCTAAAGCATTGTGGGTGGATTAATGCTATTAAGTGGTTGCCAGGGGGTTGCTTTTTGATTGCTAAAGTATGCGAGCGGATATTTGTTACTAGGTGGTTGCCAGGGTGTTGCCATTTAATTGCTAAAGCATTATTGATGGATAAATGTTACTAGGTGGTTGCCAGAGCATTGCCTTTTGGTTGCTAAAGAATTGTGGTTGGATTAATGTCACTAGATGGTTGCCAGGGATTTGCTATTTGGTTGCCAAAGCATTGTGGGTGGATATTTGTTACTAGGCGGTTGCCGGGGTGTTGCTATTTGATTGCTAAAGAATTGTGGATGGATAAATGTTACTAGGTGGTTGCCAAAGCATTGCCTTTTGGTTGCTAAAGCATTATGAGTGATTGCAAGGGCTTTGCCATTTGATTGCTAAACCATTATGGATGAATTAACGTTACTAAGTGGTTGCCAGAGCAATGCTTTTTGGTTGCTAATACATTAAGGTTGGATTAATGTCACTACGCAGTTGCCAGGACACTACCATTTGAGTGCTAAAGCATTATGGATGGATTAATGTTACAAGGTGGTTGCAAAGGTGTTGCTTTTTGGTTGCTAAAGCATTGTGGGTGGATATTTGTTACTAGGTGGTTGCCAGAACGTTGCTTTTAGGTTTCTAAAGCATTGTGGTTGGATTAATGTCCCTAGGCAGTTGCCAGGGCATTCCCATTTGATTGCTACAAAAATTACGGAGGGATTAATGTTACTAGGTGGTTGGCAGGTCGTTGTAATTTGGTTGCTAAAGCAGTATGGGTGGATTAATGTTACTAGGTGGTTGCAAGGATGTTGATATTTGGTTGCTAAAGCATTGAGGGTGGATTAATGTTATTAAGTGCTTGTCAGGGCTTTGCCTTTTGGTTGATAAAGCATCATAAGTGGTAAGAAAGACGTTTTTTTTGGTTGCTAAAGCATTGTGGGTGAATTCATGTTACTGGGTGGTAGCCAAGGCATTGCTTTTTGGTTGCTTAGGCATTGTGGTTGGATTAATGCCACTAGGTAGTTGCCATTTGATTGCTAAAGCATTAAGGATGGATTATTGTTAGCAGGCAGTTCCAGAGTGATGCTATTTGGTTGCGAAAGCATTATGAGTGATAGCAAGGGCATTGTTATTTGGTTGCTAAAGCATTGTGATTGAATTTATGTCACTAGGTCGTTGTAAGGGCATTGCTTTTTGGTTACTAAAGCAGTATGGGTGGATTAATGTTTTTAGGTGGTTGCCAGGGGGTAGCTATTTGGTAAATAAAGCATTATATATATATATATATATATATATTTTTTTTTTTTTTTTTTTTTTAATCATATATATATATATATATATATGTATGTATGTATGTATGTATGTATGTATGTATGTATGTATGTATCTCTATATATCTATATATCTCTATATATATATATATATATATATATATAGATATATATATATATATGTATCTCTATATATATATATATATATATATGATAAATAAATAAATAAATGTAAAAAAAAATATATATATATATATATATATATATATATATATACATACATTTATATGTGTGTCTTTATATATGTGTGTGTGTGTGTGTGTGTGTGTGTGTATATATATATGTGTGTGTGTGTGTGTGTGTGTGTGTGTGTGTGTGTGTGTGTGTGTGTGTGTGTGCGCGTTTATATAACTGCAACTACCAAATGCATCAATGTAAATCTCCTATGGTCACCCTGTAAACTCTGCATCAATCATAAGATATGAAATCACAAAGCTCTACCTGCCACACCGAAGGGTCTGCGGAGACCTGACGTTAATTTTTTTGTGTTGTTATCTCTGAGCTCCATTCGGCCCACTCGAACAATCTGACAAACAAAACTGATTTTCTCCCTCTTCAGATCTTCACTCCCCAGATCCTGGAAAGAAACGCACAAAAAACAACACAGTTAAATAAGGAAGCACAAACAAACAGCACATATTATTTTCACTCTACCAGCAATTCATCAGGTGTTTCTGACAACAAACAGCAAGTTAAACTGTAACTCGTTAGTTTAGCAACTATTCAGAGAAGCAGCGGTTGATCCGTGGTGCTGAGAGACTGTTAGCATGGCATCCAGGTGAAGGGTAAACTGTACAGAGCAGCTTTTGATTGGGGGCAGAAACTCATTCCCCGCTGGCGGTTTGTGCAGAAAGCAAAGGATTCTGGGAAAACAAACTGACCCTCAGCAGCCTGACATCCATTAAAGAAACGACCTCCAGCAAATGAGACCAGTTCTTATGTGTGGGTGCAAAGAATCACCCCCACACACACATCAATGCATACGATCTCATTAAAAACAATGCACATGCAAACACACCAAACACAAGCCAACGCAATTAAAAACAAACAAAAATCTATACAGACATAGGAGACAACAGAGTAACAACAGCGAAGTGCAGTGTGTGTGTGTGTGTGTGTGTGTGTGTGTGTGTGTGTGTGTGTGTGTGTGTGTGCGCATGTAAAAAAAAGTCTAAAAAATAAATATAAAAGAATAAATAACTAAAAACAAACACAAATGAATGAAAAAAAAACAAATAAAAATAGAGTAAAAAAAATTAACAAAAAATAACAAGCAAAAATTTTTAAAAAATAAAAGTAAATATAAATAAATAAAAATAAGTAAAAATATAAGAAAAATAACAATAAAAATATACAAATATAAATATATAAATAAATGTAAAAGAGTAAAAATATAGAACACAATATATATAAATAAAGTGAAAATATTAAAATATATAAACAAATAAATATAAAAAATACAAAAATAATAAATAAAAATAAATGAATATAAAAGATAAATAAAAATATAAATAAATAAATAATCAAAAATTAAAATAAAAAAATTCATAAAAAGATATAGATAACAATATAAATAAATAAAATAAAACAAGTAAAAATATAAATAAATAAAAATTATACAAAATTAAATTAACAATAAATAAATAATACAAATATAAATTAATAAATACCTAAAAACAAACAAATAAATAATAATTTAAAATGAAAAATAGAGTAAAAATATATATATAAATAAAAAATAAAGTAAAATATGAATAAAAAAAATAATTAATTAAATAAAAAAAATTTAAATAGAGTAAAAATATATTAAGTAAAATATAAATAAGTAAAAATTTTAATAAATAAACAAATGAAAATAAATAAATAAGAGACAACAATATAAAAATAACAATAAATAAATAAATTAAACAAGTAAAAAATAAATAAAAACAAATGAAAATTAAAAACAAAATAATCAATAACAATAAATGAATAAAAACAATAAATAAAAATATTTATATATAAATTAATACATATAAAAAATAAATAAATAAAAAAGAGTAAAATATATAAATAAAAATATAAATACATAAAAACAATTAATAGCAACAATAAATTAATAAAACTAGATAAAGCATTTATATATGATTTTATTTTGAAAGCGATGTATAATTAAATGCAAGGTTAAATTAAATGCAATTAAAAACAAACCAATAGCCTTAACGATGCTGAGTGAACTCCAATATGACTTCATGCTTTTAATAACTATTTTCTAGCACATTAAATTGGTTTTTGGTGTTAAAGTCCAAGCAGACGCCAACGCACATGCATGAACACAAAAAACATATGCAAGAACTCAAGCCAAATTGTGTCTCCTTCCTTCCTCTCGCTCCTCCAAACGACTGTTAGCTCGTTACCCTTTACAGCATTAATGATGATGCCGTTTTCTCCAACACTTTAATTACCAATTCTACAACACGACTGATGAACATGAATTAAAGTGTCACCCAATAATACCGTGATTACTCATTAAGGAACAAAGCGAGAGACAGGAAGAGAGAAACGGAATCAAGCAGTGACTGACTCATTTACATGACCGTGTTTCCAAGAACCGGCAGGTAGTGAAAATTGAGTGTTTGAATTAAAATAATTAGGTCATGCCTGAGGTTTTGCGCATGACCTAGAGGTTTCTGCACAAGGCCTAAAATTAGGCCTGTGCTAAACCTAGTTAGCCGACCGCAGAGCTGGCATTTCTCTTATTTAAAAGAGATTTTAAAAGTGTATCAAATACTATAATTAGAAATAATAATACTATAATACGAAAACAATTATAGGCTTTTATACACTCATTGGCCACTTTATTAGGTACAGCTGTCCAACTGCTTGTTAACGCAAATTTCTAATCAGCCTCAATGCATTTATGCATGTAGACATGGTCAAGGCAATCTGCTGAAGTTCAAACCGAGCATCAGAATGGGAAAGAAAGTTGATTTAAGTGACTTTGAAAGTGGCATGGTTGTTGGTGACAGACGGGCTGGTCTTAGTATTTCAGAAACTACTGATCTACTGGGATTTTCACGCACAACCATCTCTAGGGTTTACAGAGAATGGTCAGAAAAAGAGAAAATATCCAGTGAGCGGCAGTTCTGTGGGCGCAAATGCCTTGTTGATCCCAGAGGAGAATGGCCAGACTGGTTACAGCTGATAAAAAGGCAACAACTACAAATTTTTTCACTACATTAACTGAACATATTAAGCTAAAAGTTCATTAAATTCCATCTGTATATTCAGAAGCAATATAATTCACCAACAAGAATACTGTCTGTATAAAGCAACACAATATGGCTGTAAAACATAACTAACTCAGCCATAAAATAATCAGTGTTGTCAACCATTTTCAATGTAAAAAGTTTCAAGCTCTGCTTGAAAAATGACATCATAGGTCAATCTCCTGCAAATGTTCTGTCTCTCCAATAGTGTATATTTAATTGGTGTCAATATGTACATTACCTTTTACTTACGCATCAATTTAATTACATTGATTATAGTTTGAATACAGTTTACCCGTATTCAGACATAAACAAGTTTAGAAACTATCACTTATAAATAAATAAATAAATAAATCTAGACTATTTTTAATACAAAACCCCATTTGTCACTTGGCATAATACTGTTATGAATCTTATGGCACGTTACAATGCCATAAATGGTGTAAGAAAGACGCAGGTTTCATTCTGCATTGCATTAGATCATGATATAATCTCTCCATGATCATTTTAAAAGGAATTAATAATATTAATAATAGTAATAATAATAATAATAATAATAATAATTTATTCATTTTCTTTTTAGCTTAGTCCCTTTATTATTCTGGGGTCGCCGCAGCAGAATGAACCGACAACTTATCAGCATATGTTTTACGCAGCGGATGCTCTTCCAGCTACAACCCATTATTGGGAAACATCCATACACACTCATTCACACAAACACTCATTCACACACGCACACACACACTCGCACGCACGCACACACAAGCACGCACGCACACACACACACACACTACGGACAATTCTAAGAACATGCAAACTCCACACAGAAACGCCATCTGACCCAGCTGAGGCTCGAACCAGCAACCTTCTTGCTGTGAGGCAACAGCACTACTTACTGTACCACCGTGTAGCCCAATAATAAAAATAATAATAATAATATAAAGGCAGCGAAGCAGTGGCACAATAAGTGGTGCTGTCGCCTCACAGCAAGAAGGTCGCTGGTTCAGCTCAGTTGGCGTTTCTGTGTGGAGTTTGCATGTTCTCCCTGCATTCGCGTGGGTTTCGTCCGGGTGCTCTGGTTTCCCCCACAGTCCAAAGACATGCGGTACAGGTGAATTGGGTAGGCTAAATTGTCCATAGTGTATGAGTGTGAATGAATGTTTGTGGATGTTTCCCAGAGATGGGTTGCGGCTGGAAGGGCATCCGCTGTGTAAAAACGTGCTGGATAAGTTGGTGGTTCATTCCGTTGTGGTGACCCCGGATTAATAAAGGGACTAAGCCGACAAGAAAATGAATGAATGAATAAATGAATGAATGAATGATGTAAAGGCAAAGTAATACATACAGTAAATACGGCCCGTAGGTTATGAAGCTGATCGATGTCTTTCACCAAACCAGAGCTGGACCAGCGCACAAGATAATTCTCACTGCAAGAAAAAATACATTGATGACATTAATATAACATCTAACCCTGTTAATGGCAGATAATCAAATTGAAGCACAGCGAACACACCAAAAGCACACTACTTTAATGCCCTGCAAGACACTCAAGATTAAAAATAATAGACTAATAACATGATCATCGACTGCTGAAATAATCCATTCAGCATTGTGGAAATGGTACAAATGCGGTTGATTTACTAGTGAGGAAGTGAACCACTGTGGTTTTGGGTCACAAACTCTTCCAAATAATCTTAAGAGACTCTCCTAAAGAATCACAAACTCTCACCTACATCTTGGATGACCTGTGGGTGATGAAATGAACAGGAAATGTCAATGTATGGCTAAACTAAACTATCCCAATGCACTCCGATAAGTGTGGTTCCTTGAACAAAGACACTGCTTGCCAAATATCAAACCTGAGCGATGCATGTGACTTCATTCTCCATATGAGAAGCATATTTTACCCTCTGGGGTCTGAGGGTGTTTTGGGGCTCTGGAGAAGTTTGGACATGCACTGACATTTGTGTTGTTTTCAGTGTCTTAAAAACATATAAATGGCTAAAGTGTGATAACACTGTAAACAGCACAAGCTGGACTACAGTAATACCTCAGCAGAATGTTTGAATGTGTTGGTGTTTATGAGAACGAAACGTTTATGCGTGGTTAGTGAAAAATAAAAACTTGAAGTCACTGAAAACAAGGCCGTAAAACACACAGAGAACATCTGAGCACAAGACTTTTGAGAACTGGATCTTGTGTGTGAGTGAGAATCATCTTGTTCACTTGCTCACAGAGAACAATATAACGAATTAACATTTCTAAGTCACTTTTTGAGTGTAATTGGTTTATGCGAGAAGGCGTGAACTACCATTACTATGCAGTGAGTCACACCTGAAGACAAAGACCTGCATAATGAGCTGCATAATGCGCCATCAGACAGCTATGTGAATAAGAGGGAAGAGTTTCAAGAAGGAATCAGAGAAAATTTTATATACTTTTTTGTTTGGAGTTTATTTAAAATATAATAAACACAAAATAACTGGAGATACACTTGTGAGAGTCAGTGCACTCTATTAAACTCTGTAAACTTTATAAACTTACATATAGCAAATCTACTGAAAAAGATATTTGTAAATGAAGAGTTTTATTGCAAAACAAGATGTATGTTGAAGGTTATTTGACATTATTATTTAAGATATCAACAGTCAACTTCAGGGAACCTTTCTGCATTAAATTTGCTTCAACCTAGTGAAAAACTAGGACTAGTTCTGAAAAGGGATTTCTGGACAAATCAAGTATGACAAAACATGATTAATGAATGATTCGACATGCATGCTCATTTAAGTCCATGTGTGCACCACTGACCTGATAAACTTGGACTCAATGGGGTCATAAAGTGACATCAGCACTTCCGCATCTTCTCCGATTTTGCAGACGACATTCTTGAGCGTGACGAACAAAGCGAACGAGGGTGTGGAGGCAAACTTCGCCAGCCTGTTCAAATCCAAGTTCTGCTTCTGAGACTGAAAATAAAACAATTTAAATAAAACAAACCCACGCATATTTCATTTCTAGCATCTGGAGCACACACTTAGTATTTTTAAATGTCTTTCAAAGGTCCACAAGACTTACTACAGAGTCATTATATTACTTTATTTCAGCACATGCAGACTGCATATGTGCTAATATTGATTTAAAATACAGTAAACATCTGGGTAGAGTCACCTAGAAAGGTAGGTCACCAATCACCAGTAGTATTTTCAGAAATTCTCCTTGTCATACAGGGTTTGGGAGAGTAAATGATGGCAACTTTAATCTTCTTGTGAAGTTTTCCCTGGATAAATAAGGATGTTAAATGAAAACTCCTCTCACTACCGGGTTGAAAGCAGGGTGAATAAACCGGACGCTGACTCATCTAAAAGCACTACAGCAGCTCAACAGCGTCTGAAGTGAACAGGTCACCTGGAAATTAACCTCAGAGATTGTACATAAGAAAGAGTGAGGGTTTATGTAAAGACAAAGTAAAATTAAATGAATAAATTAACTTATATTAAATTAAATTAAAAATAAATTTAATTTAAAATAAAATATTTTAAAAATAAAAATATAATAAAATAATAAAAACATTTTTAAATAAAATAAATTAAATTAAATAATACATAATTTAAATTAAATTAAATTACCAAATTAAATTAAAAAATTTTAATAAAAAGAAAAACATAATAAAATAATAAAATAACAAATTTTAAATAAAATAAAATAAAACAATAAAAATAATATAAAAAATAAAATAAAATAGCTTGAGATTTCAAATATTTAAGAAAATATTTCTGTATTTTTTTTTTAAAGTCAGCATTAGGTATTTCTAGAATGTAATAAAATATATATTTTTAAAGTGTTCAAATCAAACTGTATGAATAATATTAAATAACCAATAATAAATTTTAATAAATATTTAAAAATAATCTAATGAATAATAATAAAAACTTTAGAACGTGTACATACACAATTCTATCATGGAAAATAATACTAATGCATTTTTACCATGGTGTGGTCAATAGAAGACACATACAAAATGTCAATCACTGTTCATAAGCCAAAACATCTTGTCTTACTTGTGATATAATTAAACAATATAATAAATTCATATCTTTACTTATTGTTTAATGAGATTTAATTATCAGAACAGGTGACTGTTTTGCAGAGATTGCCTTTTACATAAAGAAATATTATGCTGAAGGACGACTGAATCCAATTTTACCTTATAATTGGATATTTTATTATCACAAAAGTTATTAGAAATTTTAAAGTATTTTAATTGCATTTAATATAATTCCTAAATATAGAAAATCACTTTTGTTAAATTACCTCAAATACCAAAACCAACATGAATTGTCTCGTCTTTGACCTCAATAACTGATTAAACTTCATTATAATGATTCTTAATTCTTCACCCAACACAGACAATTCTGTAATCATTTACTCACCCATTACTTCTCACAGCTGAATTACTACTGAACACAAAAGTTATTTAGAAAAATCCTGGAAACGGGTAACCATTGACTTTAATAGTGTTTGTTTTTCCTATTTTAGGTGTCAATGGTTATGTAACGGAGGCCAGCTCAGTGTTGGGCAGGTAGTCCTCACTCTTCTGACCTCTAAAAGGTGCTCTAGCCACAGACACTAGAGGCCATGGTCTGTAGCCTCCATGTTAGAGCAACTCACTCCCATATCATCAAATCTGTAGCTCCTATTGGTTCTTGGATTGGCGCTCATCACAGCTGTTGTCACACTGCAGGAAAGTGTCTGAAATCTTCTGGCACTGCCAGAACTTTATCAGAGGAAAAATCTGACCGCAACGGGCACCAAGAGCCTGTCTGTGAACATGTCAAGCCAAGACTATAGGAATCTTTTAGGATTTCCCAAATTTGTCTCAGATGACAGAATCCTGCTCACACTAAGATGTGAACAACGGCTTTATAGGTGCTCTAGCAACAGGCCTCCATGTTAGAGCAACCGACTCCCACACAAAGAATCGCTGGTTCGATCCTAGCTCAGAGTGGGTTGGGTAGGGTGACACCGGTGGGGTTACAAGGACAAGTTTCTAACGTTCTTCAAAATATCAACAGGAAAACTGAAGCTCAAAGGTTTGAAGCCACCTTTTGTTGGTTTTTCCTATCATAGCTTTCAATAGTAATGTAACAGAGGCCAGCTAGAGGCCATGGTCTGTAGCCTCCTTGTTAGAGCAACCGAGATCCATACAAAGAATCGCCGGTTCAACCCAGCATGGAGCGAGTTACCTGTTTCTATTGTCCTCCAAAATATCTCCTTTAGTGTTCAACAGAAAAAAAATGAATTTAAAGGTTTGAAGACACCTTTTGTTTGTTTTTCCTATTATAGCAACCGACTCCGATACAAAGAATCGCCGGTTCGATCCCAGCTCAGAGCAGGTTGGCTAGTGTAAGACAGACTGGGTTACATTGGTCCCTGTGACCTTTAAGAGGTTCTCTAGTGATAGACTAGACCATGGTCTGTAGCCTACTTCTTTGAGCAACTGACTATGACACAAAGAATCGCTGGTTTAATCCCAGCTCAGGGTTGAGAGGGTTGAGTAGTGTAGGACTGGCATGGTAGTGAGGTTTAGGGGAGTAAGTGTAACGGAGACCAGCTAGTGAAGTGCTTTGCAGGTAAAGCTCACTCCTCTGACCTCTAAAAGGTGCTCTAGGCACAGACTAGGCCACAGGTGTCAAACTCAGTTCCAAAAGGGCCGCAGCTCTGCACAGTTTAGTTCCAACCCCAATTAAACACACCTGATCAAACTAATTGAGTCCTTTAGGCTTGTTTGAAACCTACAGGTAAGTGTGTTGGAGCAGGGTTGGAACTAAACTGTGCAGGGCTTCGGCCCTCCAGGAATTAATTTTGACACCTCTGGACTAGGCCATGGTAGGTAGCCTCCATGTTAGAGCAACAGATTCCCATACAAAGATCCACCGGTTCAATCCCAGTTCAGAGCGGGTTGGGTAGTGTAGGATGGGTGGGGTTAAAGTGACATGTTTCTAATGTTCTCCAAAACATCTCCTTTAGTGTTCAACAGGAAAAATGAAACTTAAAGGTTTGAAGCCACTTTTTGTTTGTTATGTAACAGAGGCCAGCTAGAAGCCTTGTTTCTTTAGCCTCCTTGTTAGAGCAATCGACTCCCATACAAAGAATTGTCGGTTCGATCCCAGCTCAGAGCAGGTTGAGTAGTGTCGAACTGGCAGGGGTTACATTGGTGTCGTGACCCAGATGGGAGTGAGTGTAACAAAGGCCAGCTAGTGAAGTGCTGTGCAGATAAACCTCACTCCTCTGACAATTAAGAGGGGCTCTTTTGACAGATACTAGAGGCCATGTTCTGTAGCCTCCTTGTTAGAGCAACCAACTCCTATTCAAAGAATCGCCGGTTCGATCCCAGTTCAGAGTGGGTTGGGTAGTGTAGGACCGGTGTGGTTAATTGCATGCTTCCAACATTCACCAAAATATCTCCTTTAGTGTTCAACAGGAAAAAGAAACTTAAAGGTTTGAAGCCACCTATTGTTTGTTTTTTCCCATAATAGGTGTCAATGGTTATGTAACAGACGCCAGCTAGAAGCCATGTTCTTTAGCATCCTTGTAAGAGCAACCGACTCCCACACAAAGAATCCGCGGTTCAATCCCAGTTCAGAGAGAGTTGAGTAGTGGAGGACTGGCAGGGTTACATTGGTGCCGTTACCTGCATGGGATTGAGGTTTAGGGGGGTGAGTGTAACAGAAGCCAGCTAGTGAAGTGCTGTGCAGGTAAACCTCCCTCCTCTGACCTCTAAAAGGTGCTCTAGCCACAGACAAGGCCACGGTGTGCAGCCTCCTTGTTAGCGCAACCGGCTCCAGTATAAAGAATCGCCAGTTCGATTCCAGCACCGAGCGGGTTGGGTAGTGTAGGACCATCAGAGTTATATTGGTGCCATGACCAGGATGGGAGTGAGGTTTAGGGGGGTGAGTGTAACAGAGACCAGCTAATAAAGTGATGTGGAAGTAAAACTCACTCTTCTGACTTTTTAAGAGGTGCTCTAGTGACTGACGCTAGAAGTCATGTTCTGTAGCCACCTTGTTAGAGCAACCAACTCCTATACAAAGAATTGCAGGTTCGATCCCAGCTCAGAGCGGGTTGGGTAGTGTAAGACTGATTAGGTTACAGTTACATGTTTCTAATGTTCTCCAAAATATCTCCTTTCATGATCAACAGGAAAAAGAAACTTAAAGGTTTGAAGCCACTTTTTGTTTGTTTTTCCTATTTTAGGTGTCAATGGTTATGTAAAGGTGGCCAGCTAGAAGCCATGTTCTTTAGCATCCTTGTTAGAGCAACCTACTCCCACACAAAGAATCCGCGGTTCAATCCCAGTTCAGAGAGAGTCGAGTAGTGTAGGATTGGCAGGGTTACATTGGTGCCGTTACCTGCATGGGATTGAGGTTTAGGGGGGTGAGTGTAACAGAAGCCAGCTAGTGAAGTGCTGTGCAGGTAAACCTCCCACCTCTGACATCTAAAAGGTGCTCTAGCCACAGACAAGGCCACGGTGTGCAGCCTCCTTGTTAGAGCAACCGGCCCCAATACAAAGAATCGCCGGTTCGATCCCAGCACAGAGCGGGTTGGGTAGTGTAGGACCATCAGAGTTATATTGGTGCCATGACCAGGACAGGAGTGAGGTTTAAGGGGTGAGTGTAACGGAGACCAGCTAATGAAGTGATGTGCAGGTAAAGCTCACTCCTCTAGTGACAGTCACTAGAAGCCATGTTCTGTAGTCTCCCTGTTAGAGCAACTGACTCCCATACAAAGAATTTCCGGTTCGATCCCAGCTCAGAGCGGGTTGGGTAGTGTAAGACCGGTGAGGTTACAGTTACATGTTTCTAATGTTCTCAAGAATATCTCCTTTAGTGTTCAACAGGAAAAAAGAAACAAAGGTTTGGAACCACCTGAAGGTAAGTAAATAGTGGGTCAATTTTACTTTTTGGGTGAACTATGACTTTAAAGAAAATATGTTTGTTAGGGTTGCTCGATTTTGGAAAAAATCATAATCACGATTATTTTGGTCATAATTGTAATCACGATTTTTCTAAAGTTGAAGTCAAAATTATTAGCGCTCCTGAGAATTTTGTTTTTTTTAAATAACTATTTCCCAAATTATGTTAAACAGAGCAAGGAATTTTAACAGTATTTCCTCTAATATTTTTTTCTTCTGGAGAAAGTCTTATTTGTTTTATTTTAGCTAGAATAAAACCAGGTTTAAATATTTTAAAACCCATTTTAAGGTCAATATTATTAGCCCCCTTAAGCAATATATTTGTTGATTGTCTGCAGAAGAATCTACTGTTATACAATGACTTGCCAAATTACCCTAATTAAGCCTTTGAATTGCACTTTAATCTGAAGGCTTGTATTTTGAAAAACATCTAGTAAAATGTTATATACTGTCATCATAGCAAAGATAAAATAAATCAATAATTAGACATGATATATCAAAACTAGTATGTTCAGAAATAAGTTTAAAAAAATATTCTTTCCATGAAACAGAAATTGGAGGAAAAGGGTTGCTAATATTCTGGAGGGCTAATAATTCTGACTTCAACTATATATATATATATATATATATATATATATATATATATATATACACAGTTATTTTCCACCCTGCAAAGGAAAGAGAAATAAATACAATAGAATAAAAATATAAAACAAACTGTGATTTAAGCATCTTCACCCTAAGAAACACTTTAGCTACATAAATCCTTCAGTCAAGAGCAGCGAGGAGTTTTCTCGTCGTTTGATTAATGATAAAACAGGCGGCAGCATTTCGCACTGTCACTTTAATGGTTTCTCTTTCACGTGTCTTTTGATTCTTAACTCGTTTGTTTATTACGTAAATGAGGGTTAATATGAATAATCACTAAACACCGCGTTTTGACACCTATTTGACCATTAAAGGGCTCATGTTAAGATTACTTTAGATGTCTTCGCTCCTCTGCTCGTCTCAGTGTGTGAATGAGACCGAATGCTGACCGCGTGCTTATGCGTGTGCGCGTGTTGCACACACACATAAGCATGCGGTCTTTCGCGCTTTTGGTATATGATGCAATAATCGATTAATGGTTTTTCATAATCGTTAGAAGCCATAATCGAAATCGGATTTTCGATTAATTACACAGCCCTAATGCTTGTATATTTTACTTTTTGGATACATTATATCCGTTACTTTAAGCATGACTATTGATAAGTGTTAAATCTCATAGACGGGTTTGATAATAAAGCTTTTGTTTAGTTGTGCCACTCTGAGCACTACAGCGAGGTGGGAAGTGAAATGGTTTACGCTCATGCTCTCTGTTCCCCGTTTAACCTCTCACACACCACACACACACACACACACACACACACACACACACACACACACACACACACACACACACACACACACACACACACGTGTAACAGATAGGATTGACAGCTGTGGTCAGGGACTTTTTTTTGTGGTTCAGTGGTTGTGCTTGACACATCTACACATACATTCGAAATAAACATTACAATTGAAGGTGTTCAGCTGGCAGCGTTGAGAGAAAAACACTGCAGAGCATTCAGCTGATGTGAATTCGCCCTCTATTCTCAGGCCTTTCAATTGCGCAATCCAATAACGCACAACAAACACATTCAAATCTCTCAATCTAAATGAACCACAGGCTGCAGGGTGGGGGGGGGGGGGGGAGCAGCGTGGTGATATTAGAGCCATAATGGATGAAAGAGTGTAATATCGTTTACCTTCTCCTCTTGGATGCGAGCTTCAATCTGCTTGGACGCGGTTTCGTGCGCTCGGAACAGATTGACGGTGCTGGTGAGGTCGGGATCCAGAATATTCCCATCTTTATCTCTCACCACCAGATCCAGGTCTAAATACCTGCCAAGCACACAGAATAGAAAAGCAGGGTATGAGATGCTTTGAAAGGGCTGGCTGAAAGAGACGAGAGAAGGAGGTTAGTGTTGTACTAATGCATGACTACACCTTCAAAAATGAATAAATGGAAGTTGCTGATAACATTGGTGCACTGAAAGGGGGGGTATAAAAAAAAAGAAGTCAAATAATTGAGCATTATGAAATATTGGTGCCACAAAGTAAAAGTCACTACCATTATACAATAGTATTGTTATGCTGTTGTGTGTAATAAATAGTTTCAGCATATTGCAATGTGGTTACTAAGGTGTTCATTGTTGTTGCTAGGTGGTTTCAAGCTGACTATCATAATGCAAGAGTGTTTCCATGCTGTTGCTAAGATGCTCATAATACCAGGGTTCTTACACCTTTTTCAACCTCAAATTCCAGCACTTTTCAAGGGTCATTTTGTTTTTTTCAGCACCTAACAACCACGGTATATAACGTTTATAAATGCTGTATGTAGTCACGTTTAACGTTTTGTGCGATTCAAAAAACCCAATATGACATATATATATACACATTTTACGACAATTTAAGTTGTCGTAAATTTCAGATGTTCAATAATCAAGTTAAGAAATTTAAATTCAAAACATTTTTAATAGCATATAATCCGTTTTATTAACTTACAATTGCTAATAATTCAATTAAACACGATTCAAATTCAGATTGTTTTGGCTTATTATTATCTCCATAATAATAGCGCATGTGGTGAACGTTTTGCAATGAAAACTGGTCACACGACAACAATTTATGCACTCGCACGTACGCTCCCAAACATTTTTTGAGGTCACAGATAAAATCGCGCGCATATGCAACCAAAACAGTCACAATTTCGAGCCCTGCAAATTCAAAGTCAAGCAGGTTCAAGTACTTTGTCCAAAATCCAAGCACTTTCTAACCTTGAAAACACAATATTACAAATCAAGCATTTTCCAGGATTTCCAGCACCCGTAAGAACCCTGTAACATTGGCTCAATAGAAATCGGCTCTAAATGGAGGGAGGACTAGCAGAATTTCGATGAATTGCAGTTTCAGTTACTTCTGTATTTGCTTCACGAGGGAGAGCAGGAGGTTGCCGCTTGCGTAAAACATATGCTGGAATAGTTGGTGGTTCATTCCACTGTGGTGACCCCTTGATATTCATAAGAAGTTCGGATCATTTTACTGACTCGGATCTTTGAGTCTCGTTCATCGAGAAGAGCAAATCTTTTTGAGTCATTTCGTTCATTTTGTTTAATTTGCCAAGATATTAAAATGTTACCAATTGCTTCCAAACACATCTACAACAAGCCCAAAAGGTTCATAACATGACAAATAAGTCATAAATAGAATACTACAAGAAGGAGAAAATAATAATTCAATGTTTACCTGCTCTTTTTTTCTATGTAGATATTGTTGTCTCTGCTCAGCTCCCCTCTTCATGTCTTCAAATGTCAGGGATTCGTTTACGTCACACTGACAGTCACATCTAATCTTTACCAATGTACAAAGTCTGAGTCGATAGGAGCCATGATAACCCTGCTGAAAAATCCAGCTTAAACCAGCCTAGGCTGGTTGGCTGGTTTTAGCTGGTCGACCAGGCTGGTTTTAGAGGGGTTTTGACCACTTCCTGGCTGTTTTCCAGCCATTTCCAGCCTGGTCTTAGCTGGTCAGGCTGGAAAATGACCAACCAAATCCAGCTAAAACCAGCTTGACCAGCCTGGTTTAAGCTGGACATAGCTGGTTTTGGCTGGGCTCCCAGCTTGGCTAGGCTGCTCAAGCTGGTTTTAGCTGGTCATCTCCCAGCCTGACCAGCTAAGACCAGGCTGGAAATGGCTGGAAACCAGCCTGGAAGTGGCCAAAACCCCTCTAAAACTAGCCTGGTCGACCAGCTAAAACCAGCCAACCAGCTTAGGCTGGTTTAAGCTGGATTTTTCAGCAGGGAATTAGTTCACCTTTAAATTTAATTCTTTTTCCGGATCAAAACGCATATGATTGGCCCGTGAGGAACGAGTGACTCAGACCCGACTCAAGGTGAACGGTTCAATTCTTTTTCCGAATCTAAACGCATATGATTGGCTTTTGCCTTTCCACGATGAACGACTCAAAGGACTTAAAATGAACGATACCATCTGCACAAATGTGCGCACACGCGGATGAACGAATCACTCCCTGAGAGGACTCGTAGTTCCGGAGTAATATTAAAGATTCGTTCAAAATGAACCCCCCATAACTACCCCTTGATAAATTAGGGACCAAGTCAAAGATAAATAAATTAAATGAATGATAAATGAAGAAATTATTAAAATAATGTTCTTAACCATACCTAGTCTTCAAGTGACTTTATTCTTCTAGACCAGTGGTGGCCAACCCTGTTCATGGAGAGCCACCTTCCTGCAGATTTCAGTTGCAACCCATATCAAACACACCTGCCTGTAATTATCATGTGGTGTTCAGGCCCTAATTAATTGGTTCAGGTGTGTTTGATATGGGTAGCAGCTAAATTCTGCAGGAAGGTGGCTCTCCAGGAACAGGGTTGGCCACCCCTGTTCTAGTTGTTTACTTGCATCTCCTACTAAACAATAAGTCTCACACACTCACAAAATATAGCTTACTTCTATAATGCAAAACAAGATGGATACTTATGCCAGAAAGCTGCATAGATTAGCATTAATCTTTTATCGTTTGCCAGACAGAAATGGTCTGATAGTGTTAAAGCCTAATACATAACTTTGAGAGACTGTTTAAACTCCTCTGCAAAGAGTAAGAGCAACATCACACACCAGTGATTAGAAGTCTTTTATTTTGGATAAAATATCTGAAGTCTGGAAATCTTTCACAATGACCCTTCAAAGCAAAAACAGGCTGTAAATAAGGATGAAGAGCAATAAAACGCTCTCATTAAAGTCAGACTTTATGTAACAGACTGCAGTCGTGACTTCCAGCTCACTGTCTCCTTGTTTTAACATGACATTAATCAAAACCAGTCAGCAGTGTGTGTGTGTGTGTGTGTGTGTGTGTGTGTGTGTGTGTGTGTGTGTGTGCGCGTGGAGAGAGTATGTGTGTAATGTGTGTGTGTATGAGTGTGAATGTGTGAGTGTGAATGTGAGTATAAGTGCAAGTGTGTGTCTGTATGTGCACGTATGTGTGTGTGGGGGGAGAGAGTATGTGTGTAATGTGTGTGTGTGTGTGTGTGTGTGTGTGTGTGTGTGTGTATATGAGTGTGAATGTGTGTGTGTGTGAGCACAAATGTGTGAGTATAAGTGCAAGTGTGTGTGTAAATGTGCACGTATGAGTGTGTGTGTGTGCGTGTGTGCGAATATGTGAGAGAAACCGTATTTGTGTGTGGATGTGAGTACAAATGTGTGTAAGTATAAGTGTAAGTGTGTGTGTGTGTGTTTGCGCATGTGCATATGAGTGTGATTGCGTGAGAGACAGAGTGTGTGTGTAAGTGTATGTGCATGTGATTACCAGGGAGTGTGTGTGTATGTGTGTACGTATGAGTATGAGAGTATAAGTGTGTGTGAGTATGTGTACATGTATGCACATGTATGTGTGAGAACCTATGCCTCTGTGTGTGTGTGTGTGTGTGTGTGTGTGTGTGTGTGTGTGTGTGTGTGCTAGAAAGTATCTGTCTGTGTTTGAGTTTGTGTGCCTGTTCCAGAGTGTGTATGTGTGTGAGTATGGGTGTTTTTGTTTGTGTGTGAGTATGTGTGAAGATGCGTGTTGGTGTGTGTATGTGTACGTTTTAGAGTATGTCTTTGTGTGTGTAAGAGTATCTGTGTATGTTTAAGTATCTGTTTGCTTTTGTGTGTGTGTGTGTGTGTGTGTGTGTGTGTGCTTTTGGTTGTGTGTGTGTGCTTTTGGTTGAGTGTGTGTGTCTGTCTGTGTAGACGTGTGAATATATATGTGTGTGTGTTTGTGTTTGAATTTGTGTGCCTGTTTGAGTGTGTGTGTGTGTTTAAGTATGGGTTATAGTTTGTGTTTGTGTTGTGTGTATAGGTGAGCGAGTATGTAAGAGGATGAGTGTGTATGTGTACACGCATATCTGTGTGCTTGATTGAGTGTCTGTGTGTGTGTGTTCATACTTGTTCCCGTAGTCCATCTTGGAGGTGACTCTCTGTTTGAGTTCAGTCAGCTCGTCCTGTGGGAGTGTGCCGGACAGGATCTGCGAGCGCCACTCGATCAGGTCGTAGATCATGTCTCGGACCGTGTTGAACATCTCCCGCTTGTCGCCCTGTTGGAAACACAGAGTCTGTTTAAAAGCCTGCAGTGCGTGTTAATTAATCCGTCAAAGCACATGCTGACGTGATGCTCATAATCACTGCAGACAAAGAGACCCGCAGGGCCTTACGCAATTAAAAAAAAAGAAGTTTAAAAAGTCAACGAGAGTCTTTTTAAAAAAACGTATAAATCTTACCAGAGCTTTTCAACATCACAGCCCCAGGCGTAACACCATCAGATTTACTAGAGAATTCTTTAATGTTGTAATGCGTCATGGCTGATTAATGTTTGCGCCCTGAACTGTGATGTCACTAATGTCATCAAAACACAAACACTGTGTCCTGATTCATCCTTCTGCATGCAGTGTGTGTGTTGCTCTGCAATAACACTTCCCAAACGCTAGCTGGCAGTAAGTTGTTCCTCTGTGTATAGTTTCTTCACTGGTGTTCTGTTTAATCTGAACGCTACCTTAACCCTTTGACTGCCCGCTCTACCAAACGGTTGCCCATGTTTTGAATGTTTTAAATAATGACTGTTAAAGTTATTTAAAGAATGACTGTTTTAAATAATGGTTTACAAACACAATGTTGGTAGGGATGGGTATTGATAAGGTGTTAATGGTATTAATTACTTTTTAACGGTACTAATTACTTTTATCGATACCACTTATCGGTTCGGTACTTTAACGGTTCTCGTATCGGTACTTTTTGTTGTTGTTTGTTTACCGAAAAAACCCCAAATTGAACACAATTAACAGCATTTTATTTATTATTAAATTTTTAATATAAAATAAAAGCAAAACCAATAATTGTAAAACAAATAATTGTAAAACAAATAAAAATTTATTGTAAAATAATGTACAATGGCTTGAATAAAAATGACTCGAGTTTATTGTTTTTAGAAAATATCTAAAATCATTTTTTTCAGAGATGCCTTTGTAAAATGAAAGTTATATATGGCTTTGAGAGGGTTTGATTCATGTAGTGTATATTCCTACATTGTTATAGTTTTTGTTTGTTTTACATAGGTTTATTTATTTAATGTGATTTCATTATATCCGATATTTGTAATTCTTTAAATTATTTCAATATAGCTTAGGCTATTTTATAGAGATATGACACTATTATTTGGAGTCTACAAAAGTTAACACGTCATTTGTTAAGTTTTGTGTCTTTCTGTTGTATTCATATCGTGTATTATCTCCAAAATAAATTAAAAAAAGAAAAAAGCCGGTCGAGGCATCAACAGCTGTCAAGCAAGCGCTCTTTCGCCCGGCCTCTCACACACACATACAGGCATCTAACGCGCACGTACATACACGTATCCCGCACAAACACACCTTTTAAACTTGACAAAAACTCTCGACAACCTTTACTGGCTGCGGTGTCTTTAATATGGTGTAAAGATTAATATGCGTTATTGAAGCATCAAGGACGACGCAGAAAGGAAACATCAAACTAAAACTTTATGCAATAGCCTTACATTTAAAAGGGAAACATAGGGGCGACCATAAGCAAAAAGACCCCTATCCTATAAGGCAGTGGTTCTCAAACTGTGGTACGTGTACCACTAGTGGTACGCAGGCTTCCTTCTAGTGGTACGCGGGGGAATGAAATATGTCATGTATATAATATACACATTTCAAAATTGATAAAAAATGATGTATATAATTTGCCATATATGACAAATAGCCTATATTTCTGGGGTAATCTGCCACGTTTTTTTTTTTACTGTGCAGAGTTGTAGCTGCTTTACTGGGCCTACTACGCTACTGTATTTCAATCTGCTCATTTTGGTGGTACTTGGAGAGACTATTTTTTTTCTGAGGTGGTACTTGATGAAAAAAAAGTTTAAGAACCACTGTTATTGACCTTATTCTAAAATGCGGAAGTGCGCCTGTTTTTGCGATTGTCTTAGAACTTCCGTTTCAGTCGCCTATGGGAGAAATGACAAGGAATAATAAACAGCAAAAAATGGTCAAACTACTCGCTCTACAAACAAATGTTTGCATGACAGACCAAATAGAATAATATAACAAGGAAATATCAGTTTGCAACATCAAACAGCGAAACGAGCAGTTTTTAATGTCTAAAAATGAATGGAAGTGAATGAGACCGGAAGTCTCGTGCCAAAAAGATTCAAATGGCACCGCCCACTAGTCTGCGGAGAATAAGGTCAATAAGGTGTTTTATGGAATAGCCTATCTTAAACTGACCAGCTATATGTTTTCTTTCCCTTATTTATTTGCTGCGTGTACTCGTGTGCGATCGGAAAACTAATGTAATGACGGCTTGCCATCTTTAACAGACTCGGGCAAACTCCGCCTGCCCTTTTACTCCGCCCTGAAGCCCCAGCTGCCCCTATTTGGCGGGCCAAAAAAGGCCAGCCGCTGGCTCAGAGAAAGCCCCACTTTGGCCCCGGAAGTGACAGGACTGGCCTTGGCTCGGTCCTTTAGGCGTGATAGTTAAAACACGGCTAAATGCATCTTGATGCAGATGTGGATGATTCTGTATCGGTTCAGTAATAGATCAAAACCAGTTATACTGTCCTGACATCAGTTATCACATTTGCATCATACTATGGTGAGGGAAGCCAGAAGTACTCAAAGTATAAAGGGATAGTTCTGGCAAAAATGACCATATTTATTCACTCTCAAGCAGTTCCAAACCTTTATGATACCTTTATCAAACCTTGATAAAATATAGTAGGCAAAGAAATAATATGAAAGTCAATGGTTCCAGGTTACAAACATTCTTCAATACATCTTATTTTGTGTCTGACAGAAGGAAGACACTCAGTCAAGTTTGGAACAAATAGGGGGAGAGTAATGACAACATAATGTAATGTTCATTTTGGGTTGAACGATCCCTTTAATGCAGCTGTAGAAGCAAATCTGTGTGCCATTTAGCTGAAAATCAATGGACTCTTTGCATAATGGGAGAGTTTGAAGCGTGTAGAAGAGTGTGCAACTTTTGGGAAGCGTCATCATGTGTTAAAATGCGGGATTACCACATATAAGTCTCTCCATATTGCGGCCCATTCTCGTAACGTTGTCGTGACCTCATGAACCAGAGGAAGTTCGGTAGGAATCACAGTCTCCTTTTGCCTGTGGATCAGAGGAGAGAGTTGACAAAACAAACAGATGAGAAAAAACAGGGTTCAAATAGTGTGAAATTAATTTAATAAATACACAAAATAAAATGTAGAAGTATATTTTGGTCCTTCCTCAATAAAAGATCACAGGAGCTGATGCTTACCATTCAAGGAGACAAGGAGAAATTACTAATAGAATTGTATTTATTTTCGACCAGTCTGGTTTTTGAGAGTTGGAGAAGATATGGTAAAACAGCATGGTATAGAAATCTGACTGTTCAATCAAAATCAAAACGTAAAGAGAGGAAAGTGAATATAAACACGAGGTTGAGAAGCAAAAAGACCAATTCAAGAAATGCTGTAAGGAAAGATGAAGAAATCAATTCTTATAATACATGATTTACATGAGAATTGTAACAGGTTTCCCTCAAGGAGACGACTAAGGGTTTTAAAGTGCAAATCGAATAGATATAACAACTAACTTGTGCTAACTAATATTAAATCACTTTAAAATTTTTGACAAGGTTTGAAAAGAATTACACTGTAAAAATAAAGCCACACAATTCATTGATGTTGTCCCAGCACAAGTTGATTAAGTTAACATACATGGTTTCCACTACATTCATTCTGCCATAATGGCGCGCCTCACCAAAATTCATCCTGCCACGGCTAAATTACAGCTTCTCATTCACAACATTCAGTCATTGTTGTTGTTTTTAATAGTGGGTTATAATCGCACCAAAACGCATTAAAAGGTAAGTCAATTATTTGTTTAACCCTTTAAGGCACTGGTGTCAAACTCAGTTCTAAAAGGGCCGCAGCTCTGCACAGTTTAGTTCTAACCCTAATTAAACACACCTGACCAAACTAATTAAGTCCTTCAGGCTTGTTTGAAACCTACAGGTAAGTGTGTTGGAGCAGGGTTGGAACTAAACTGTGCAGGGCTTCGGCCCTCCAGGAATTGAGTTTGACACCCGCTTTAAAGTGACGTGCTGACAGACTAACTGTTTGACTGACTGATAGGTGCATAATGTGTGAGGCCAGCAAACACGACGTAGCTTTCAGTTAAGATGAACAGATTCTCCAGAATTATACTTCATTTATAGATAGAGGTCTATGGCTCAAAAAGATTTGCATGCTCGTATTGCATAAATGCGATCTCGACTTGTAATACAGCGCTTACGACCTTCTCCATTTGTCATTGAAATAACGCCATAGGTAGTTGGTAGATTTGTGTAAAGACCTGCTGCCACAGCTGGAAAAATTCATGGAGGAAACGCTGACATAATATCTTTTTTTTTTTTTTTTTTTTTTACAAATCTAATCTGGATTGAAGATAAAATAAACAAGCTGTCACCAAAAACTTGAGAACTGTCATTTTTAACTCATTTTAAATAATAAGTTTGAACAAGCAGAAAATGTCCTTTTTTAAGTGTAATATTTACCTTTTCTAATGGGTTATTTTATGATTTTAAATGTGTATTTATTGTGTTGTAACATGTTCTGGCCATGTCAAGGAATGTCTGAGAAATATTTTTCAGAAATGGGACAATAAAGTATAAACAAACAAAGTATTCAAACCAGGGGTGTCCAAACTCGGTCCTGGAGGGCCGGTGTCCTGGAGAGTTTAGCTCGGAGCTGATTAGGTTCGGAGCTAAACTCTCCAGGACACCGGCCCTCCAGGACCGAGTTTGGACACCCCTGATTTAAAAAAAAAAAAAAAAAAAAACACAATTTAATTTCTAATTATTTTGCATGAAGTTATTATTGCAACCCAGGGACAATTTAAAAATACTAATAATAGGTATTTATTAGAAACAAAATATTAAATTGAAAATAAATAGGCTGAAAAAATGCAGATTGATAACAGATAAACCAAGATAAATAAAGGGGAAAGAATTGAGTTGTTCATATAATGAATTTAAAAATATTATTAAATGATAAAAGGGGAAGCAATGGCGCAGTAGGTGGTGCTGTCGCCTCACAGCAAGAAGGTCACTGGTTCGAGCCTCGGCTCAGTTTCTGTGTGAAGTTTGCATGTTCTCCCTGCGTTCGTGTGGGTTTCCTCCGGATGCTCCGGTTTCCCCCACATTCCAAAGACATGCGGTACAGGTGAATTGGGTAGGCTGAATTGTCCGTAGTGTATGAGTGTGTGTGTGTGTGTGTGTGTGTGTGAAGTAGGGTTGTAACGGTATGAATTTTTCACGGTATGATAATCGTCTAAAACAATACCACGGTTTGACGGTTTCGCGGTATACGGTATGTTACAAAATAATAGAACAGTGAAGCAAATTTGACTTTTTCCAAAAAATATATTTTTGGTTTCTATAAACAACACCACTTACAATGAACAAATAAAAATAAGAAAATAATAAATAATGTGTCAAAGTCCAAATAAAGTCCAAATAAACATGGTGCAAATCCTCAGTAAAAAATAGATATAAATATTTACTATACTATAAATAGTTACATAACGAAACTAGATTCAATATGGAACATCCCTAGGTTTTATGTGCCAGCATGGATATGGTTGTCTATTAGGGATGTAACGGTATCAGAATTTCACGGTACGGTAATACCTCGGTATGAATGTCACGGTACGGTATTTATTGAATCATTTACAGGAAAAAACAAAACTTATGAAAATACTCCAAAAAAGTGCCAAAAGTGTCAATGACATACAAATTAGCCATCTATCTGTACGCTTTGAAACAGGAACTTCAATTTTAATAACAAAAAACTATTAAACCATGTAAAAAAATAAAGTTTCAATTTAGTATTGTTGAAAACTCATCACATTCAACATTTAATCACACTCAGCCCATCTACCCAGATGAGAGCTCTGCTAGTCGGACTTCTCATCAAGCATCTCCCGCTGGATCTAATCTCACTATATTTATTAAACGGGATATTTCATTCATCTTGTTGTCTTTATCTAACGACATATTCCCTGACTTTGGGCATTGGAATCTATTACTTGTTCTCAGGTAACGTGTTTTGGCTGAGTGCAAAGATAAGTTAATGATTAATGTAACCACGTACATTCTGTATATTGACTGATCGCTTGCCTTTATTTCCTATAATGTATAAACTTATTGTATGTTATACTTTTAAAATGGCCATTATCGATTCTTAAAACTTCGTATCTTCACTGAAATTGAAAGGAGGCAGTTGTTATCGGCTCCGTTTTGTTATAAATATTCACACAGTGAAAATGACGCTCATCTTATGCAGCACGACGCCTCAACATTTCTGCTGTCTAAGTTGCTAATATTAAAATGAAAATAGGCAGTTCCTTAAATCATGTTTACATTTTATTGTTGAGAAAGTGAAACAACGAAGCCAGGGTGATGTGAATGAAGTTATAAAGTACACTGTTCCCTTTGAAGATTTACCCGTGTCCTCGGTATAATCTGCTTTTCCATATCAAACTGAGAAGAAGAGACTGCAGCCTTGATCAAACTTGCGAAGTCTGAACTTACACGGAGAAGATGCGGGACTGAACTGTGCGTGTAAAGCAGGTCGCACACCAGAAGCGACGCTCGGCGGCGCGCCGCGCAGCGCCACGCAGCGCCATGTAGGCTATTTTAGAATTCTAATCATAGGTTTCTATCAGGATACACACACCGGCGCCGCAAGTCGGCGGCTGTCGGCGGCACCCGGCGACGGCTCAGGACGCAGTTCATTTTTCAGCCGCGCCACAGAGCGCCATCTGATTAGTTTCATGTTAAATATCATTCGAATGTGCGCGTCTGGTGTGCGATACTTTAATCTGTCATGTACGCGCCGTGTCGCGGCGCTTCTGGTGTGCGACCTGCTTTAGAGTTTTCCAGCTCTTTTCATCCCCGCTTCTAGCAGCACACTCCATTTCCGCATTACTGGATCTGTAGCAACAACAGACCGCAAGGGATGATGGTCAAGCATGGGCTGATGGCAATTGTAGTTTTCGTTACCTTCCGTTCGCTTTATTCGCCTGAGCAAAATTTCTCAGAAGACCTATAGTTTTACCGAGTCATGCGACTTCGGTAATATCGAAAAAATTAATATTGCGGTATGACGGTATTTACAATACCGTTACATCCCTATTGTCTATGGATATGGATTTGGATGTGGTTGTATGCAATGCAGACAAACAGCTGCATCTTCATTTGTGTCTTTTGAAAACAGCAAGAGCAGCAGTTCGTCTTTGCTGTGTCACTGTTTTGTCATGTTTCTGTGCTGCTGTGCATGCAAAAGTACTTAGTATGAGAATTATTTCATGCAAAACTTTTTTTTTGCGTTTTATTTAGCCGCGCATAAATGTATGCCTATCTCTCATTCCGTGTTGTTCAAAAAGCTTGGTCCACAAACAAAAGCGAAACCTATGCTTATTGGTTGTGATATAGCGAGTTTGAACCAATCTGGGCATGGAGGAGGGACAATGCATCAATGTATCATGTCTGATTTGTCCGGAGACACAGTGACGAGCGTTTCTTTGTCAAAACAGCGTTGTCAAATGTTGATGACGTAACCGCACTGATTCCGGAGCCTCTGAAAGTCCGCGAATGTTATGTGATACAGCACTGGAAAGCTGAGATTCTCTTCTTTATGCCAATCTTTGAATTGTATGAATCAGATCAGCGAATCAAAAGTTATTAAACATTTAAGAGCAATACTTATTTTTAGCCGCGGGCGGCTGTCTCGGTCTTTAAGGGTTAAAACCGTTGATATGCAATTGTTCATGGTATGATAATCGTGCACGTTCAAATCGTGGTAAACCGTCATACCGGTATATTGTTACAACCCTAGTGTGAAGGTGTGTGTGGATGTTTCCCGTATGGGTTGCGGCTGGAAGGGCATCCGCTGGGTAAAAACTTGCTGGATAAGTTGGCGGTTCATTCCGCTGTGGCGACCCCGGATTAATAAAGGGACTAAGCCGACAAGAAAATGAATGAATGAATGAATGCATATAAAGCTATTTAAAGAATAGAATCTACCAATACAACAATGTGGTGATGAATGAAAAACTAATGTATATATAGCAACACCAAGCTGCCAATTATTTAAATTATAAATGTAGTAAACTTTAAAAACGGAAACAAAAACACGATTAATAAAAAACTACAATACTGGAAAAACAGTACGTTACGGAGACAATTTTTCTATTAGGTCCCAAACCTTTCAAATCTTAAAAAAAAAATAAATAAATAAAAAAACTTTAAAAATGGCGGATGTCGAAATAGCACTAATCAAAGGTGCAAAGTGTCTTTATTTAGAGTGCTCAGGAAAAAAAATCCCCCAAAAATATAATAACCAGAAAAACAAAACAAAAATATTTAAAAGTCAAGTAGCACTTGGCTATCGTTTTCTTTCTGCAAATAGAGAAATCCAATAATCAATAAACTTCTCCACACCACTCTACAACCTTACTCATACACCCCCCCTCCCTTAACTGAGTGCGAGTCGCTCTTTATATAGTGATCGACTCCGCCCACTACGGCTTCAACCATTTGAAGGTGAGTATATATTTCTACCTAAAACATACTTTAGGTAAATGTTCCTTTTAAGTCAAAATACACACTTCATTTGTATAAACATGATAAAGCAAAACATTAAATAAATATCTCTTTTCACAGGTCTTTAAACCCCTTTTAATCTTTTACCCCAGTCTCTTTATCCACCACATAAAACACATAGGCCCCGTTTACACCAGTGCGTTTTGGTTTTAAAACGGCGTTTTAGAATGAAAACGATCCGCGTCCACACTCGCTTTTTACCCAGCGTTTCTGAACTGCTCTCAGTCCACACCAAAACGCTGAAAACGCACATCACATGACCAAACACACACACTTTGGCAATCGCTGGAGCCCATCTACCCAGATGAGAGCTCTGCTAGTCAAACTTCTCATCAAGCATCACCCGCTGGATCTAATCTCAATATATTTATTAAACGTGATATTTCATTCATCTTGTTGTCTTTATCTAACAGCATATTCCCTGACTTTGGTCATTGGAATCTATTACTTGTTCTCAGGTAACGTGTTTTGGCTGAGCGCAAAGATAAGTTAATGATTAATGTAGCCACGTAGCCTACATTCTGTATATTGACTGATCGCTTGCCTTTATTTCCTATAATGTATAAACTTATTGTATGTTATACTTTTATAATGGCCATTATCGATTATCAAAACTGATATTCAGCAAAAGAGAGGGTGTGTTTCGTATTTTCACTGAAATTGAAAGGAGGCAGTGATGTTATCGGCTCCGTTTTGTTATAAATATCCACACAGTGAAGATGACGCTCATGCAGCACGACGCCTCAGCATTTCTGCTGTCTGTTTAGTTTTTAATATTAAAATAAAAATAGGCAGTTCCTTATATCAAGTTTACATTTTATTGTTGAGAAAGTGAAACAACGTAGCCAGGGTGATGTGAATGAAGTTATAAAGTACACTGTTCCCTGTGAAGATTGACGCGTGTCCTCGGTATGTTTTCCATATCAAACTAAGAAGAAGAGATGCAGCCTTAATCAAACTTGCGAAGTCTGAACTTACACGGAGAAGATTCACGACTGAACTGTGTGTTAGACTACTTAATATTGAGGAAAAGCCCCAATCAGAGAGGCGAATGTCTGCAGCCCCGCCTCCGTTTTCAGATGTCTCCGTCTTTCCCCCTCCACACTGAGACGGAGCAGCAGCGTTTCAGAATGAAAACGGCCTCTCCAGCGTTTTCAAAACGCTCCGTTTTCGGCGCTCGAGAACTCCGGCGTAGTGTGGACGGTTGGCGTAACCGTAGCAAAACTTATGCGTTTTCAAACTAAAACTCAGTGTAAACCGGGCCATAGTCTCCCCCGGGTGCCCGAGCACTTTGCGCATGCGCAGAGCACCACTGTGCATAAGCTAATGTGTTTAAAGCTAATAATCTAACAATAACGTAATACTTTGTACAAAAAAAAATGTGTTAAATAATCCATTTTAATCAGACTATATAACCAAATTGATTTACAATTTTAAAGAAGAAAATGAAGCATGATTCATACTTAACATTTCAGACAGATCACTTGAGCTTAATTAAGAAAATAAAATACCATGTACAATTAGACTTTCCTCTTAAAAACACATCAGCTAAATTAGGTCAATTAGTCTTGTATTTGTATAAAGATCAGTGACAGAAAAAGAAGAAAATGTATGAACGAGGAAAGATCAATAAACTCTTGTGTTGTTCTGAGAATATCACTTGTGTGGGAAACAATAGGCTGTTTAACTGCGTCTCGCTCTATTCACGTCAGTAATTTCCGCTTAAAACAAGCTTCTGAGGTCCTCGAGTCATTCAGATCCCTTCATACCAACGAAAACTAATTACCAGCATCAGTCATCAAAACACTTGTTATGAAATCTAGACCGGGCTCTGCTCACGACTCCAATTACTCTTAGTCTCACGCAACACTCATGAGTGTCTATTAGACTTCGTAAACACACTATCAAATCTAAAATGCTAAGATTTTTAAGACCATGAGGAAACAACATGTATGCACTTGTATTCCTCATTCAGTACATCTGCTTAAACATACTGACCCGCTGCCTTCAACCGTAGCCTCCTTCAGATGAATATAACAAGCCGGAAACACACCCTGCAAACGGAGAAAAGCCATTAGAAATCCCCAAACGAGCTGAGGCCTGCTGAATGATGACTGAAAAGCAAAACAAACTGACCTTCTTGGATTTTCTCCTCAGCCGATACCCTCGATACCATCCTGAGAAGAGCAAGAAATATCACAGCAGTCAGAGGAAAATATCAACAATTGCATTACAGAGAGACGCCGCCGTGTCCCTGTTGCACATCCACAAAACAATATTCAGAGATTATGAAAGACAGCTTTCATAAATCTCCTGGAGATATGAAGTGAGGCACTGGGCACTAACAAATCATTTGCCTCTAAACTGTGTGTTTTTTGGAGAGAGAGGTTGTTCTGGAGCTCTGATAAGGACATTTGTGCTCAGAAAGGCCTGGAAGTGGAGAGAGACGACAGATATGGATGGGTAGCGGAAGTATAAATATAGATGTATAGTATATATGGCATAAGTCTTTTCATTAATCCCACTTGTCAGAGCAACAAATAATAACTTGACTTCTAGTTGATCATTTGGTAAAGTGGCAGATGGTGGACTTTTTAAAAGATTAAAAGACGTCTTTTTCCTACAGACTTCGGAGATCTCAGACTTCGTCATTTATTGAAAAGTTCGACTTAGAGACTTAGAATATTTTGCAGACCAGAATTTTTTTCCACAACACTATCAGCAATATATGAAGTGATGTGTGTGTGTGTGTGTGTGTCCCTGAAGGGAATAAATGATATGGATTACAACATTAACATGGTTTTAAGGACTTAGTAAACAAAATAGCACGAAAACTATTTTAAAAAGGTGTAAGGGCAGGGTTACAGGACAAAATATACAGTTTGTGCAATATTAAAATCATAATAATAATAATAATATTAATTCCTTACATTTATATAGCACTTTTCTGGGCACTCAAAGCGCTTTACACAATGGGGGGATCTTCTCATCCACCAACAGTGTGCAGCATCCACCACACACCAGCTGATTGGTGTAGAGGAGACAGAGTGATGATATGCCAATTATGATATGGAGAGGGTTAGGAGGCCATGATGGACAGAGGCCAGTAGGCAGATTTGGCCAGGATGCCGGGGTTAAACCCCTACTCTTTTTCAAAGGACATCCTGGGATTTTTAACGCCCACAGAGAGTCAGGACCTCAGTTTAACGTCTCATTCGAAAGACGGCGCTCACTAAGCAGTATAGCGTCCCCGTCACTATACTGGGGCATTAGGACCCACACAGACCCCAGGTTGGCCGCCCCCTGCTGGCCTTACTAACACCACTTCCGGCAGCAACCTAGTTTTCCCATGTGATCTCCCATCCAGGTACTGACCGGGCGCAGCCCTGCTTAGCTTCAGTGGGCGACCATGTGAGAGCTGCAGAGAGCTAGCCGCCGGCTGACATCAGGACATCTCCTCATTAATTACATAAGCAAGTGTATGTGTGCGTGTGTGTGTGTGTGAGAATAAGAAACTTATACGTGTGCGAGTGAGTGAGCGTCTGTCTTACCTTCGTAAGTCTCCAGTATGTGAACAGTGTCTCCGATCTGTAAGGACAGCTCTTCGTTACTGCGAGCGTCATAGTTGTAGACGGCTGAGGACAAAGAACATAACACTCTAGTGAGTATAGTGTGCATAGCGGAGATCTTGATGATGTGCCAGTGCAATAACTGACCAATAACAGACAACAGCAGCTCCACAATAAACCCTGAACAAAACAGAAATCGATCACAACGTATTTTACATGAAGGTTTTCAGTCAATAAAGAGATTTCTGTGACTGTTCTTTTACCATGTCTGAGGTCACATTATCTAGTATGTTATGCTTACAAAAAAAAACTGACAAAAATATGTCCTCATAGTCTAGGAGCATTGACAAAGTGCTAAAATGCAGTTAGATATCAAATAATGAAACCATGAAATGCACATCTTCATTCAAAACACTTAACTTGAGAGGGAAAAGCAGTAAAATGTGTACAGTGCACAACATTCTGGCGTACACGATGCCTAAAGTTAGGCAACAGGAGAAAAGGTCATGCTAGAGCTGCACAATTGTTCGTAAAAAGATCGCGATCTTGATTCGACCCCCTAGATGATCTTAATTCAGCATTTCTATGATTCTGTCCATCATATTTTCAAGTTCAGTGTTACATTCCTGTACATTTCTGTGTTGCGTGATTATTATTTATATATTTTTTTTCTCGCTAGTCTCTTTCTTTCTCTCTCTCTCTCTCTGTGTGCTCGCTTGCTCTCTACCTCTCTCCCGCTTCCACCTATACAGTGGCTCCGATTGGCTACCGCTGCCCAGCTGTTAGCCGTGCCCCCCTTGACGTCACCCAAGGTCTCCAATCCAGCCGCTGCCACCGTGGCATAAAAGTGGTGACAGGACGCTACTCTGGAGGCCCTGAATTTCTGTGTTGTCCTGTGTGTCAGTGTTTTTTTTTATATATGTCTTCTGTGTGCTACAATTTGGTATCTGTCCGTTATTTGTTCTCCATTTGTCTACCGTCGGTGTCATGCGCATCTGAGGTTGGAGAGTGGGACAGGTAAGAATGTCGTGCGACATACATTGTGCACAAGTAGTTTGAATATCTCTGTATTACACACTAGGTAAGGGGCGTGCTCCACCCACTGTACTTTTTGTTTTCCCATCAGAGATTAGCGTAGGTTAGGTAGTGCGTAATAGACGCGAAGATTTCTTTTCAATAACTTCTGCATTTTTAATTTGGATAGATAGGGTAGAGATTGTAATGTAATGTAATGTGTATTTATATAGCGCATTTATTGTGTATGGCAATACACCCAAAGCGCTTCACAATCATGAGGGGGGTCTCTCCACACCACCACCAGTGTGCAGCATCCACTTGGATGATGCGACGGCAGCCACAGGACAACGGCGCCAGTGCGCTCACCACACAACAGCTATTGGTGGAGTGGAGGGACAGTGATAGAGCCAATTCGGTGGAAAGGGATGATTGGGAGGCCATGATCGTAAGGGCCGATAGAGGGACTTTGGCCAGGACACCGGGGTTACACCCCTGCTCTTTCACGAGAAGTGCCTTGGGATTTTTAATGACCACAGAGAGTCAGGACCTCGGTTTAACGTCTCATCCGAAAGACGACGCCCACTGACAGTTTAGTGTCCCCTTCACTTTTACTGGGGCATTAGGACTCACACAGACCGCAGGTTGAGCGCCCCCTGCTGGCCTCACTAACACCACTTGCAACAGCAACCTAGTGTTCCCTAGTGGCCTCCCATCCAGGTACTGACCAGGCTCAGCCCTGCTTAGCTTCAGTGAGTAACCGGTCTTGGGCTGCAGGGTGACATGGCTGTGGCCAAATAGATTGTTTTTGTTTTATTTATTTTTATTGTTTGGATGCCGCCCGCGTCTCATTTCTCCAACTCTCCCATATCTGGTCAAACATCTTATGTCATTTGTTATCTGTGATATTCAATGTCTCTTTGTAAATATTTAATAATCTTTCTATATACATTTTTTTTTGGCATTCATTATCATCACTATTTTTGTAAATAAAATCACTTTATTGCAATTAGCTGGTCTTGGTTTTGTCCCTTATTTATAGATGTTGTGTGGTTGCTTATGTGTTTCACCCAAAAACTAATGTTACTCCTCTTCCCTTTATTTAACATCTTTTAAATCGTAACATTCAGGAGAGAAGCAATGGTGGCCGCACAAGTCTTCACATTGTTTTACATACTTGTTCAGCAACGTGGACACCCTCCAAATGGTGTTGATTCACATGCTGTATTTATAAGATATAATTTACCCCAAAAATGTCATTTCTGTCTTCATGTAATGTATTTGTGACCGCAAAAATCACACGTTACGTGAGCTGACCGTCAGCTGTTACCACAGGGAGGGCGACAGAACCTGCATAGGCTGTGAATTACAGGTAATGTTGTAAATAACGTTCAGTTTGTGGCACAGATTGATCGTTTGGGAGCCGCACGGGAAGTGAACCGCTCTTAGCAGTGAAAATGATCTAAAATCATAATCTAAAGTCAAGTTCAAGTCCACCATTCCAAGTCTATACAAAATTGAGCATTTTAACCAACAGTACAGCTACACAAAGCCGATTGCTGTTTTACCACATGTTTGATAACAACAATAATAATAGCCCACTCATATTAACCTTTATTTTATATCTACGGAATCGTCAGAAAACCGTGATCTTTATTTTAGGCAATGTAAGGATCCAAAATATCAGACCCTGAGAACTGTTATGGAATTTCATGAGACAAGATGCAATGTTCCAATGCACTTTCTAATCTGAGAAGTGATGATGAAACCAACTGTTCCACTGTTCTATTCAAATCACTGTTGACAATGCAAACACATGCTGGAGAAACAGAGCAACACTACATCAGGGAAGAATGCAGGAATGCATCCTTTACTTTCACCCCAAGCCCCCCTTCTTGACCCTTATGTTACCTTCTGATTAGAGCACATTTCACATAAAATGTTCAAGGTTTTAACATGGTGTATCTTGCAGCACTATATTCATGTTTGGTATCATTTTAAATGTCTCAGTGTGATTGGTAAAGTGGTCTTAATTTTACAGTAATATTTTACTGGTATATGTGGATTTGGTTTTTGACTTCTATAAGATCTTGATAAGATGCTCTCCCTCCTCAGAGATGGTTAAGTCCTCAAATTCACCAGGCCAGGGTTTCTGTGACACTTCTATTGTCTTGAATTTATGTTTGTTTTGACTTGAGTATAAAAGGTAAGATGTGCTTTAGGACGGGGGGAGATCTTGTAAAAAGACACCCCATTGCAGCATCTCTGAGACTAATGCTGCAATGTACTTCTCTGGTCAGGTATGCATCTATAATTCTTTGATTTATCTTTGATTAATGGATGTTATATTGTTAGTCTCATCTCTGAATTGGCTTCCTGATGATTTATTATGTAATTGGCAGAATACAATTTTACCCGATAAATAAAATGTTATGTTTTGATTAATTCTGGAGTTTTGCAAATTCATTGTATCCAGTATATTAGAGGAGTCTTCATTACCTTTATTGTATGGCATAATTGAATTGATTAATAGGCACATTTGATTATACGTAGCCATTGAGAGCCTATAACATGTAGACCTTTTAATCATTTAACCACTAGAAGTAGCAAGTTGTATGGGCTTGGCTAAGGTTTTTTTAAGACTAGGTAAGTGTAATGCGACCAGCTTATTCAAATATAGTTAATCCTGCATCCTCTGACTATTTTCAGAGTGTCGACATATTGCCCGTGAGAAGATGCGCAAACCCGGGGCGTGGAACTCTGAGCGGCGTTTGGTCCCTAATGAACGTACAATTAGAATATCAGACCTCAGAAAATATCAAAACTCTAAATTAAATCATAAATGATGAATGTGATCCGTTCTTACAATTAGAAATACAATCTAAATTTTAGGATCATTGAAATTGGAGTCAGATTTAATTCGGAGCTAAAAAAACTAATAAAAATAAATTCTAATAAATAATAAAATTCTTTTCAGAAGCACTAGAAAAGGCTTACATGCATTAAACCTTCGACCATGCTGTTAGTTTCGTCATTGGGCTAATAGATGGACTCCTACAGCAAAAAAATATTAATAATAATAAATTAATTAAATAATAAAAAATAAAAAAATAAAAAAAAAACAGGCAATCCTCATTTTAGCAATCCCCCTCCTCATCGGATGTTTACTTTCACTTTCTTCAGCAACTCCCCAACCCTCTTCACTTTTGCTCACGACAACCTCCCCCGGCTCTTCACTTGTCCACAACACCCATCCGCCATCCAATGCCCTCTCCACTTTCGTGTGCGACACCTCTACATCTTCGGGTGGACAATTGGCTGGCCTCTCAATCTACGCGGGTTACTATTTGTTCGCGCCATTAAAAACGTCATTGTTCGGCAAAATTTATTCAGCCTTTTTTCTTATTATTAATTTCGGTTGCCAAATATTCAGTGCATCCCTAGAAAAAAATCCCTTGCTCTGTTAAACATCATTTGGGAAATATAAAAAAAAAGAAAAAAGAAAAAGGAGGGCTAATCATTTTGACTTCAACAGTACATATTTTTGTTTTCAGGTGTCCATCTGTCAGAATTGAGTGTTCATCATGCAGTGTGATCTGTGCTGTAGTGTTTCCCTCAGTGACCCTGAACGAGCACATGACAGAGAGCGAGACCTGTGAGGGTGAATTACACACAGACACACACACACACTATTTCTGTCTCCGTCAGGATGCTCACCTTCATCCGCACACATGCTGTTAGACGCTCTCTTACTCTGTGGAAGATTCAGTCTCTCAGCAGAGAAAGAGTAATTACAGGATCACTTCACAATGGCTCTTTTGAATTCACGCACACAGACTGCAGTCGTTTCTCTACTGAAATCTCTTTCCTGGTGCTAGTTTTTATCCAGAGCCTGATTGAAACACCTCTGCAGCATGGTATGACAAATATATTTTAATGCATGCTCTTTAAAATAATGAGCCTAAAAATGCTTCACGTGTGCCTGCAATTGCTCGCACTTCACCTAGCAAACTTCAGTTATAAAACTAACTTTCCCCAAAAAACTTTAAAGC